TGAGGACGACGGGTGGAACGGGGCCTACCTGCCATCCACTGTGGAGCAGACCCGCTCCTCTGGGGTCACCGCCAGCACGTCACCCTGCAGCACATACGTCTCCTTTTTCTCTGCCCCGTCGGAGCTGGTGGCGCCCGAGACGCTGCCCCCGTGGACGCTGAGCGACTCTGACTCTCGCGCCTCTCCGGCAGGGAGCCCCGGCACAGACTTCGCGGCCCATGGAGAGTCTCTGGGAGACAGGCATCTCCGGACACTGCAGATAAGCTATGAAGCAGTAAGTGAGGGGGCTCTGCAGCGCACTCACAGGTGACCCGGAGCCTCCGGCGGCCTTGGTGGCCTGGGGTCTTGGCTCCAAGGACAAGATGGTCTGCGGTGCGGCTGTCTGCCAGAGCCCCTGTGCGGCGGTCTCCCGAATTGACAGATTCCGCGAGTGACGTGCCCCCGGAAGAGCAGTGTGCGGGACGGTGGGGTGCGGCCCATCTCAGGCAGGAGCCGTGGAGACCCTCCAAGGGCCCCCCCAGTCAGGAAGGGGTCTGCTTCAGGCGTCGGCTCAGGGACGTTTCGCTGTGTTCTGAGAAGAAATTTGTTTAGAAATGATCATCACTTAAAAGAGAGTTAGGAGTAAAATTGGTGTCCGTGACCATAGGCCTTTAAAGGGAGATTCTTCCAGTCGTGGTTTTTCTCTATAAGCAAATAGTAGGTTAACTCCCTACAATGTTAGTTTATTGAGAAGTTCCAGAGCCAGTTTGCAGAGGTGCAGACTCCTTTTGAGTGAGACACAGTTTCTAATAAGGATTTTCTTCTTCTGCAGCTGAAAGATGAAAATTCTAAGCTGAGAAGGAAGCTGACTGAGGTTCAGAGCTTCTCTGAGACTCAAACAGAGATGTACGTAAGCTTTGAGTCAGCGCTGCGCTTCAAACGTCAATAACAAAGTGATGGCGGTGGAACCAAGCTTGGCTTTCATCGTCTGTGGGTTGTCAGCATCCCACGTCGTTCTCGTGTGCTGAGTGAAAGTTGATTTCAAACACCCGGCCCACCCCGGCCAGGCGCTTGCTAAAAGCAGCAGAGCGCTGGATGGCGAGCCAGCTGAGGAGCGCACTCTGCGGCTGACCCCTCCGATCGGCCGCACTGAGGCCCGGCGCCCTCGCGGTGTTCATCTGCCCCGCCCCACTTAACTGCCTCTCAGATGAATTCTGAGAATGAGATGCGTGAGTGATCGACAGCTTGGTCTTCTCTGTCCCCAGGGTGAGGACGTTGGAGCGGAAGCTGGAAGCCAAAATGATCAAGGAGGAAAGTGACTACCACGATCTGGAGTCAGTGGTCCAGCAGGTGGAGCAGAACCTGGAGCTGATGACGGTACGGGGGGCTGGGGGGCATTGTGACGAGCGGGTGTGCCCCCTCCTTTGCTGTCAGCCACAGGGGCCCAGCGCCAGGAGGGGTCCCTCACAATGGGCCGAGCTGCCGGGTCGTGAGAGCCGAAGGCCCCTGGGTGGGGGCAGAGCCCGCCTTTGTTCCATATCCGTGTCTCACCGTGTTACACGGTGCTGATGCCCTTTTTTTTTGGTGACAGAAACGGGCTGTGAAGGCAGAAAACCACGTCATGAAGCTGAAACAGGAGATCAGCTTGCTCCAGGTGACTGGACAGCATGGGCACAGGGTCCAGGAGCCTCCCAACAGTGGTGGCTCCCGCAGTCAGGCCACGCCAGCTCTCCCCCCCGGCCCTGTTCTCTCTGCTCGCAGGAGGGTGGTGGGCATGTCCTGTATTGTCTGGGACAGCACGGAGCCTGGCACGAATTTCCCATTTCTGTGAATGAGTGCTGAGGGCAGACTGAAGGACAGAGGAAGCCCGGCTCCCTCGAGAGCCCCCTCAGGAGATGCCCACCGTGGGGGCCAGCCCCCATCCCCTCACTGCCTGTGCCAAGGCCGCCGGCTTCATTTGGGTTCGTGCTGCATTTCAGATGCTCTCCCGTGCAGCTGTCAAAGCGCTTTACTGCTCTCGCCCACCTCCAGGCACAGGTCTCTAACTTCAAGCGTGAGAATGAAGCCTTGCGGTCTGGCCAGGGCGCCAGCCTGACGGTGGTGAAGCAGAACACCGACGTGGCCTTGCAGAACCTCCGCGTCGTCATGAACACTGCTCACTCCTCAATAAAGTGAGTGTGGGGTAGCTGAGGGTGCCTGGACATGGGACAGGGGTGAGGCAGAGATGGCCGGCAGGCCTGGGGGGGCGGGTCTTCAGCTTGGTGTTTGAAACCATGACCATACCGTGTGCGGCGGACGGGGTTCCGGGAGCAGAAGTGCACTTGATGGTGCTGGTAACCCCGAGGCTACATGTCATGTGCCGCACCAGCAGGCTCTCGAACCGTCTTTGTGGTAATCACTGGTTTTATCAGGGCACTAACCTCATACAGATCAGAGTCCCAGCTCCTTCACCTGCCGAACACCTCAGTTCTGCACGGAGAGGAATAACTGTTTCCCTCCCATCATAAGAAGCAGATGAGTTTGGAGGAGACCCCCCCCGGAAATGGCCGCTCTGTCGCTCCCCGTGAGCGCCCCGTCTGCCTGCCACGGGGCTGGGCCCCTCCGGGGAAGAGCGGCAGCTGCCAGAATCTGCTTTCCACCCCGGGGCCTGCTTTCTGGCTTCTGTCGGGACCGTCGGACTGTCGCAGTAGCAGGCCCGTAACATCCACGTTTCCATTTTAGGCAGCTGATTTCTGGAGCTGAAACGTTGAATCTTGTTGCTGAAATCCTTAAATCTATAGACAGAATTTCTGAAATTAAAGATGAGGAGGAGGACTCTTGAGAACCCTGAGGTGCTTCCAGGTCACAGCTCTGCTCACACCCGGACGTCCCTGCTCACTGGATTTGGAAATGCCGTTGTGTCTTTAAATATGTCGTCCTCACCGTAGTAAAGATACTTATCATGACGTGCTAATTTCATGACCGCACAGTGTGAGCAGCCTGCTGCAGGGAGAAGCAACCCCCGCATGAGAGCCGCACCGGCTTCTCCGCAAGCCTTCTGGGAGAGCTCCTGCTACTCCATGGACTAACGCTCTATCGGAAGACGTTTCTATAAAAGCCAATGATTTTTTGAAGTTACTAAACCTGAAAACCACAGTTTTATAATGAGTGTTTTCCGTTGTCATTCTGGAACGTCAATCATAAGATAAGTCAATTGCTCGTCCTAATTTCGACAGGAGAGAAAGCAGGGGAGCCGCGGTGAGTGGTTGCCTCAGAAGGGCCCTAGTGCCTCTCCGACCTCACCTGGTGCCCCCGCTGGCTCGGAGTCCACTCCTGCGGGCCTGCAGGCAGTGCCTGCCCCGGCAGACCTGAGCGCGGATGCCCCACGCGGGGCCCCGGGTCACCCAGGTGGGCCACGGTGTGCAGCGATCTCAGTGCACCTGTGGGCCTTCGGGTTTGAAAAACTGCTTTGGCTGGAGGGTTTTGATACATGTTTCAAGTGGGGTTTTATACGATGAAGTTTAGAATTCAGGAAGATAGAGTGTGCAGAGCCTCCCTGTGTTAGCACGAGGCTGTCCACGGTGCCTTTCCAACTGCTCCCCCACGTAGGGAAGGCAGAACATGCACTATGTGCCTTCTTGCCTATTTTTCTGTAGATGTTATTTTTTTGAATAAACTTCCCTTTTTCCTCCTGTTCAAATTGACAGCTTTTCTATTTAATAAATTGTAAAACTTCTATGAACTGTCCCTTTTTTTCTGACTTCACCAGGTCTTTATGCTTGAGAATCATGGTACTGTCCTTTGGCTTTAGGGCATGCATCTAGTCGTAAGCAGTGATTTGTGCTGATAAATTCAGCATTAGTCCCGTGGCCTGTCCGTGGCCTGTGGGGTCAAGGGTAGACTCAGAGCAGTGCTGCCTGGGCCTGACCGAAGTGGCCCACACACGACGTCAGAGCTGCATGTTTTGGAGTTGGACAGAGTGGAGTTTAGTACTGGAGCATTCTTCAGTCACATGGTTGAATTTTTTAAAAAGACATTTAAACTGGGAAACGTCACCTCATGCTCCAGCCTGTTGGTGAGAAGCGGGTTCAGAGCTCTGGCGGTCTAGTAGGGAAGTGCTAGGATGCAGGAACGGGGCTTCCTGGGAGGATGCCTCCAGCCACAGCCCTGCATGCGGGCGCAGCATTTTAAGGGGGTGGGGGGTGTGCACCCAGAGCCCCCTGGGGTGTTCCACCTACTGATGCTGCGCTAGAGCCAGCCCTGACCTCTGCAAGGGCAGGCAGGGGGGCTGCGGGTGCCGAAGGGTCTAGGTGAAGTAAGCGGCCCGGTGCACACACAGGCTCTTCCTGCTGTTCCCCGTGTTTGGAGTGCTCACCGTAAGAGACTTAAATGGTGTGGACGTCCAGCTCTGCCTCGGGATTTCCAGGCCCCGTGCAACCCGTCCGTTTCTCCAATCTGGCTCTCGGGGCGTCCCTTGCCCCACGCCTCGGCCTGCAATCTCCGCCTGCTCTGTCCACCGGGGGAAGGCGCTCTGCTGGTTTCCAGCGGCCCCCGGCTGCTCTTCCGAGCCCCAGCCAGCACCCCCCCATCCCAGAGACGCACCGCACTCTGCGGGTGGCGCCCCTGCTCTGCCCCCGCCCCGCACACGCCCCCCGGAGGAGCAACTGCAGGCCGGCCCCGCTCGGCCAGGAGCGGCCTCCCGGACGGCCTGGAGGTACGCGCTGGGCGCGGGGGCTGGGGGCCGGGGCGGGCTCCGGTCCTGGGCGACGGCTGCCCCGGGCCAGGCCGCGGCAGCACTGAGCCGTTGGCCACTTTGCTCACTGGCTGCGCATCGACAGCCCCGGACATAGTTAGCACCGGCGGACACGAGCGAGCGAGTTTCGGCGGCGCGGAGGTCCCGCCCGGCCGACCACCCCGCGCCCGCCAGCGCTCGGCAGTCCCGAGGGCGGCCGCGCGGGGGCAGCAGGCGCCCGCTCGCCGGCCCCGTCCCGGCGTGCCCCGCGCTGCGGCCGCGGGGCGGGACTTCCGGCTGGGCGGCCGCCGGAAGCGTGGGGGGCGGCGGCGCTGGCCGGCGCCGGGCGGGCCGGGGCGGGAGGAGCAGGGCGGGGGCCGCGCCGTCCACCCCGAGTGCGCAGCGAGCGCGCGGCTGCGGCTGCCGGTCTGCGGCGGGGTCCTCCCCGGGCCTGGCCTCCGGCCGCGGGTCCGTGCAAGCCTCGCGAGCCCCCGGCTCTTCCCGGCCCTCCACCCCTTCGGCCTCTGGACGCGGGGCCGCTGCCCTCGGGGCGGCCTCCCGGCGCCACACCGAGCCAGCTGCGTCCCCGGGCCGGCCGCGCCTGCCGCTGTGCGCCCGGGCTCAGGTTTCCCAGGGCCTGCGGCTCGTTCTTGTCCTGGGGTGCCCTCGCGGTGAGCCCCGCCGCGTCTGCAGCCGGCGCCCGGCCGGGCGGGGGGAGACGGAGACCGGGCGCATCTCTCCGGCCCCTGGGCCACGGGCTCGGAGCGGGCAGGCCACGCCCACGTGGCTTCAGCGCCTAGGGGAGCAGCCTGGGTGCTTCGGGGGGGGAGGTGTCAGGTCAGTGGTCCAGGGCTCCCCCGAGCGGGCCGCCGGCTTCGGTGGGCGTCTGTCGTCCCCCCGGGCTGCACGTGGGAAGGACGGTCCCTGAAATCCTGTGATCTGTCCCAGCGGCAGGCGGGAGTCATGGACGTAGACGCGGAGAGAGAGAAGATAGCAAAGGAGATCGCGGAGCTTGAGAGGATTTTGGATCCCACGTCCTCGGGCATCGCAGTGGGGGTCTCGGAGTCCGGTCTCACGTTGGATTCTGACGCAGGTGAGCTCTCGCAGGCCACAGCTGGACCCCGTCCATCTGCCCTCCAGACGAGCGGGGTGCTCGGCCGCGCTGATCTCTGCCTTTCCTCCCCGAGGCGGCCTGTAGGCGCTCCTCCTCAGCTGGCCGCGACCTGCTGGCTGTGAGTGAGCGCGGTCTCGGGAGGCTGGCGGGCTGTCCTTGGGAGCCAGAAGGTTCCAGAGCTCAGCTTGTCCGCTGCCACCATGCTGGACAGCAGAGTGTCACCCCCACGTGCTGCCCTCGGTGCTCCCCTGGCCCTGAGGCCCCTCACCGCAGCTCTGGTCGGAGGCCTGCCCGCACGGTCGGAATCTATGAGAAACTGGGCCCTCAGGCCTCTCCCCGGCACCAGGTGCAGCTCTGAGGCTGTTTCTCAGGGTTTCGGACTACGCCAGGGCTGCCTTTCACCTGTAATCAGGGCCTCGGCCCTGCCCCCGCCCCGACTGACTCCAGCACCCCCAGCACAGGGCTGGCTCCTTCGAGGCCTCCCCTCGTGGCCCTGGTGCGTCTTCCCTCTCTGGCTGACCCTGCCATCGGTTCAGGGCCTCTCCTGCCGAGTCAGTGAGTAGCGCTCAGCCACCGGCTGCTGGGGAAGGAAGGTCCCGTTTTGTCCTGAGGCCTTTCAGCCCCTCCCCCGCCTGTGGCCATCAGGAAAGACCCTGTGCCACACCTGCTGGTCATCTCTTTAGCGGATACGGAGTCCTGTTGCCGGTCACCCACACGGTGTGCTTGTGTTCCCACAGATTCACTGCCAGAGGAGGACTCAGAGGCTGCTGCTTCCCCAGGCTCGGTAACTACTGGCCGGGGCTGTCTGTGGTGCCCACCAAGGCAGACTCCACCCTGCCAGTGGGCCCAAGACCAAGGGGGGGGTGCTGTGAGCACATCTCGGTGTTTCTGTGCATGTGTTACCGGAAGTGACATGTCTCAAAGTATTTGCCACCAGAATTAGAATTGTTCCTGGGATAACCTTTGTCCGAGGTTTGGCGTTTGTGTTTTCTGGCTTTCCTAAGCTCTCTGTAACACGTGTGTGTCTGGGCATGGCGTCACACGTGGAAGGTTTTGAGCGTGCTGCCTGGGTCTGGCCCCTTGTAGCCTGCTTGTCTGTGCCTCAGTTTCCAGCGTGCAGTGGGGTACTCACAGCGCAGGTCAGTCCGTGCGTGTGATTGCCCAGGACGGTGCCTGGCACATAGTCCCTCAGTCAGGCCAGTTTTTATTGCTACTTTTTGTTTATTTTAGAATTTCATGTTAATTTGGAGAATTTTTAGTTTGTTTTTGTTTTTTCACGAAGACAGCAGGTACAGGGTTGATTCTGATTTTTAACGGCCGGGTAGTGCCCCTGGCTTAGATTTACTATAGTTCCTCACCTGACAGTCCCGCCCGCTGTTCCTGGGTTTTAGTCCTGCTGGTGCTGCAGCGGCCGTCCTCACACGTGTTGGGGCTCACCGTCCCCTGCCAGTGACGAGGGCACACGGGCCCGTTCTGAGCCTTGAGTTCCATAGAAATATTTATTGTGGGAAGTGGATAGTATTTAGCTTTTCATACTTTCCCACCTGAGATATATTTCCAGATGTTTGTTTTCTTTGTTTTAAGTTGTGGAACGTGCACATGCTGGACATAGTCCCACATCAGGGTGGTCTCCTGCTGGCCCAGGGACCGGAGCGTGAGCTCAGAGGCTCGTTGTGCCGCCCTGGGTCACGGGGGGGGGGGCAGCGTTTGCATGCCTCCTTCCTCACCTGCAGTTTCCCGCCTGTAACCAGGAAGAGGAGAGGTGGGGTGAGGCCAGCAATGGTGAGGATGACCCCAAGGAAAAGACCCTTCCTGAAGACCCAGAGACCTGCCTGCAGTTGAACATGGTCTACCAGGAGGTCATCCAGGAGAGGCTGGTAGAGGTCAGCCTCCTACTGGCCCAGAACCAGGAGCAGCAGGTAGGAGAGGGCCTGGCCCTCAGAACCCCCATGGCCAGACACTCCAGAACAGGGCTTTGAGCTGTGTCTGTTCCCTGACTGCCCGGGTCCCATTCACAAAGGGAGTCGCTGCTGCCTGACCCCAGATGGGCCCCTTGTATCTGCCGCAGGAGGAGATCATGTGTGATCTGGCAGGATCCAAAGCCTCCAAGGTGAAGGACGGCAAGAGCCTGCCTCCGAATCTGTACATAGGGCACTTCATGAAGCCCTACTTCAAGGACAGGGTGACAGGAGTGGTGAGTAGCAGGAGCCCAGCTCTCATTAGGGAGGGCAGAGAGGGGGAGTCAGGCTGCATGGGAAGGAGCTCTCGGTTCCATACCTGCTGTGGGTGTTGTGAATTCCTTTGGATTGTTCGGGGTGATGTTCTCCAGCCTCTTTCAAATTCTTTTTGGTTGCCAGTGGTGAAAGGGTCTCCAGCCCTGGAATATGGCAAGCTGACCTCTGCTTCACAGACGAACCCCGGGGGCATTTCCATAAGAGGTGGCACCATGGGTGGGGCAGCTTGGCAGAATCGTGGCAGCCTGGTAGCGAGGTCCTGTGGAGCCGCTGATCCCACCCCATGCTCCTCACGGCCCCCAGCCACTCACCAGGGAGTAGCTCTGGGCCCAGGTGTCTGGTGCCAGGCCTCCCACGTGGCCGAGCTGCTCAAGGAGGCTGAGGGAAAGGGCTCCAGAGTCTTAGTGAGGCCCCAGAGCGACATGCTTGGCCCGTGAGGTGCGCATACCTGGTTCTGTCCACGGTGTGACACTGCTTTGCCCGGCAGGGGCCTCCTGCCAATGAAGAGACGCGGGAGAAGGCTTCCCAGGGCATCAAGGCTTTCGAGGAGCTCCTGGTGACTAAGTGTAAGTGCCCTGGCCGGGGCCTCAGCACCACAGCCCTGCCTCTCCTCAGACGCCCTCCTGTGGCTCTGTGGGCTCCTTTGGGCCCTAACTATTGGGACTGGCCCCTCAAAGCCCTTGCCTGTCCCCGGCCATGTGGGGCCACCGTCCCCACAGCTCGCTGGTCTCCCTTTTCATCCCTGAACACCCAGCCCCGGGGGCCCAGCTGTGAGCTTGGGCCAGGGCATCCTGCTCGCTGGACAGAGGGCCCTGGGCCCACAGCCCGGCCCCCCTGCCAGCTCTGTGGTCTTGGCCTGGTCCTGTGCCCACAGCTTCCTCACATGAAAGTAGGGGAAGGCGCTGCTGATGTCATTGTTTCTTGTCAGGGAAAAACTGGGAAAAGGCCTTGCTCCGAAGATCAGTGGTGAGCGACCGCTTGCAGCGCCTGCTTCAGCCCAAGTTACTGAAGTAAGTCTGAGCACAGCCACGGACGTCAGCCTCCCTGGGCTGGATGCTTTGTCACAGGCACTCAGTGTGGCCGCGTCCCCCTGCTCCCAGCAGAAGAGGTGCTGATCCCTGGAACTTTTCCCCAAAGACGCAGCTGGGCTCAAGGTCGGACATGCGAGAACTGGGCAGGCCGAGTGGCCTCATTCAGTCACGCAGCTCGGGCACTTTCTCTGTTCTGAATGCGGACCGTTTGTGAGACTTTTTATGTTGTGCTGGGGTGACACCATGTGACCAAATCACAGCACCTGGGGTTGGGCCAGGGGTCCCAGGGGCTGCCCCTAGTCTCACGGCTTGATGTGTGGGTCAGGATTTTTCAGGGGTGGCTTCCTCCTCCCTGGATTCCGGAAGGGGCAACTGCAGGCTTAAGTAGGCCCTGGCTCTGTCGCCAGGCTGCCCGCAGAACACCTCCCTGCGTGCCGGGTCCAAGGCAGGCAGCTGGGACGTCGAACCCGCGGTCTAAGTTCCCGTCTGTGTCTTAGGCAGCTGCAGTGACCGCAAGAGCGAGAGTGTCGCTGCTTCCTGTGGGCGGGAAGCCGGGCAGCCTCCGGCCTGCACAAGGCAGGCTTGGAGTCGGAGCCAGGCTCCGGTGTGTGCTCCCTGACGCGCGGCTTCATCTGTGGAGTGATGTGCATGCCTGGGTACTCAGGGAAACTGCGCTGGCCCCAAGACGCCCACTCCTACTCCCCCCCCGCCCACCCAGAGCACAGCCGTGACGTGGGTAACCCTGGTGTCTCTGCCTGCCCCGTAGGCTTGAGTACTTGCACCAGAAACGGAGTAGGGTGACGAGCGAGGCAGAGAGGCAGGTCCTGGAGAAGCAGAGCAGGGAGGCGGAGAGGGAAGTCCAGGACATTCGGTGAGCTGGGTGTTACAGGGAGGCTGTGGTCTGGGGAGAGGCATGGAAGGCCCGGCGTGACCCTGGCAGCCTGTCCCTGTCTCCAGGCAACTCCCAGAGGAGGCCTTGCTGGGGAACAGGCTGGACAGCCACGACTGGGAGAAGATTTCTAACGTTAACGTAAGTTGGGCAACACTGGGCTGATGGCGGCTCATGACCGTCCTGGCAGCCGAGGGCGTGGGCTAGGATCGGCAAGGTCAGATTCAGGCAGTCAGGCTGAGTCCCTGGTGGCCGCCAGACCTGCCGCGAAGCCTCTGGTCAGGCGAGTGTCAGGCCCACCCCGCTGGGGTGAGCTGCCTTTTCAGAGACGGATGAGTGTGAAGGTTCAGGCTTCATGCTTGGAGCCGAACCCCCACTTCCGGGTGTGTGAGTCCTGGCAACCTGGACTGGGACCCCACTTCTCCCCGGGTGCCAAGCCGCCAGCCGTCCGCGAGCAGTAGTCCCTGCAGCTTGGGTTTCTCTGTTGGTGCAGTTTGAGGGTGGCCGCAGTGCGGAGGAGATCCGGAAGTTCTGGCAGAACTGCGAGCACCCGAGCATCAACAAGCAGGAGTGGAGCGGGCAGGAGGTAGACCAGCTGAAGGCCCTTGCAGCCAAGCATGGCCATCTGCAGTGGCAGAAGATTGCCAAGGAGCTGGGGGTGAGGACCGGAGGGGCCTCGGGTGCACGGCTGGGAGGCTGGGGGGCTTGGGGTCACCACGGGCTGGGTGTCACAGCCCAGCACTGGGAGCTAGCAGATTGCTTCATCATGCGGCTCTTGAGGGTGTGGCCTGCAGGGAGAACAGCCTCTCCGCCCCTCTCTGGGCCAGGTCTCTGGAGGCTTCTGGCTCCTCAGCCTCCATCTGTCTCTGAGTGCTCACCCATCTTCCGCCTCCCTCCCAGGGCCTGGCTTATCTGGATCGTTCCTTATTTCCATCAAGCTCAGGAGTTGGTCCTGGTGGGTTTTGAGGGGAATACTCTTCCCGGTTTCCTCTGGGCCCTTGTGGTGTTTTCCTCGTTTCTAAAGTGAGGACCAAGAGTTTCACTCAGCCTGTCTGCACTGTGAAGGTGTTGGAAGCTCGCCTCTCTGAGAACAGCTCACTGTGAACTAGGACTCTTTGCTGCCTCTTCAGACCGTAGTTTGCGTAGGGAGGTCCTTCTCGTCTGTACGTGGTTAAGTGTCTCAGGAATCCTTGTGTTGTGCTCTGGTTTGAATTTCACTGGCCCACGGCCTGAGAGGGTGAGGAGTAAAGTCTGCGTGTTTGAATGGATCACTCCACAGACAGGCACACGATTGCAGCGAACTGACGAAACCGAAGCTGCGCAGAGACCGGCATGGATCCTGGGGTGGCACATGGTCTGTCTGTCCTGCCGAGCTTAGTCTGTGGAGCCGCTTGGCCAGAGCGCTGGGCCGGCCTCAGGCACGCTCCCCCCTTGTGTTTTTGCTGGTTGTGTTTCACGTACTGGGCTGCTGAGTAACCTGGTGCACGTACACAGCTTTATACGCTTGGTAAGTCGGGCTTTTAAAGTCATTTTTAGTCTCTGTTTTCTTCATTTGGGGGCTTTATTTAGGGTTTTGGTTTAGAGCAGCGTTGGTTCTCAGTAAAAGCAAGAGGAAGGTGCAGAGACTCCCCTGTGTCCTTCGCCCCCCACCAGCATCATCCCTTCCCAGAACGGTGCTTCTGTTCAACCAAGGACAGGTCTGTGCTGACCCCCCGCCGCACCCAGAGCCACGTGCACGTCAGGGCTGTGCTGCTGGGGGCTGCCCTGTGTGCGCTTGGACAGCGCACGGGGACACGTGTCCGCGGGGCGGCCTCCCGCAGACTAGTGCTCAGCCGCCCCCGCTGTGCCTCTTCCAGGGCCGCCTGGAGCTGGGGGCCTGTCCCCACGGCTTCCCCCTCTCGGGAGCTGAGGTGCCTCCGGGCCTTTTCCCGGCCTGCCCACACATTCCTTTTTAGCACTAAAAACACCCCGTTTTCTGGATGGACCTCGCTTTGTCCCTCCACCTGCTGAGGGCATCTTGGTCGTTTCCAGGATTTGGCGGTTGTGAAGGTGTTAACATCTGTGCCGAGGCGTTCGTGTGGATGTGAGTTTTCGGGTCCTTTGGCTAAACACCAGGGAGCGGTTGTATGCTGAGAGGATGTTTGGGTCTGTCCTGCAGAGTGGCCACCCGTGCTGTGCACCCCCAGCCACAAGCAGGGGTCCTGCTGCCCCGCATCCTCACCAGCCTGTGGCGGTGTCCGGGCTCCAGACTTGGGCTGCTCTTGCAGGCGTGTGTTCGTGTCGCATTTGCTTCTGCATCTCCGTGATGACCAGCACGTGCTGGTTTAGCTTTCATCTGCGTGTCTTTTTTGGCCAAGTGTCTGTGTAGGTTTTTGGCTTATTTTTAATCATTGTTTTCCTGCTGAGTTTATTTATTTATTTATTTGTTTTAAATGTTTATTTGTCAGAGAGAGTGAACACAAGCAGAGAGAGTGGGAGAGGGAGAAGCAGGCATCCCGCGGAGCAGGGAGCCCGATGGAGGCCTCGATCCCAGGACCCTGGGATCAGGACCTGAGCCAAAGGCAGACGCTTAACTGACTGAGCCCCCCAGGCGCCCCTTGCTGAGTTTTAAAGTCTTGTGTATTTGGAATAACAGTTCTTACCAGACACGTCTTACGAGCGTTTCCTCCTGTCTGCAGTCTGTCTTCTCATTTTTCTGACGTCTTCCACTGAGCGAAAGGTCTCAGTCTTAGCTGAGTCCAGCTGATCCGTTCTTTCAAGGACCAGCCTTTTGGTGTTGTGTCTTAAAAGGCATCACCAAACCCAAACCTCATGGGCATGTGGACTGCATGCGTCCAACTGTACGTGTTCTCTGTAACTCCAGGATTTTCTTCAGGAAAAAAGAGAGTTCAAATCACATTCATTAGCTTTTGGGAAATAGTTTCCCCATAAGGGGGTAAGTGAGGGGACAGGCTTGGGCGACCGCGTCTGCCGTGGAGACTGGTGGTTTATGTGCTGAGCTGGAGCCCACATGGAAGCCGAGATACAGTCACTGCAGAGCTCTCCCTGGGGTGGCGACCCCAAAGAGGCCCGTCGGGGCCCCAGGGTTAGGGCCACAGAGCAGCCCTTAGGTCGTCAGAGGCGCGAGCTCTGCAGGGAGGCTCCTCCTCCAGGCCGCTGAGCTGGCGGTGCCCGTTGAGGAGTCCAGTGTCGCTCTGGGGTCTTGTGAATGCAGCGTTACGGACTTTTCTGGACACGCTGTGTGTCTGTGAATGTGCAGACTGGTGCTCCACGGCCTTCTTCTGTCAGGCTCTCCACTGTCCCTTCAGGATCTGCTAGGGGCGATAAGGCTGTTGGTTCACAGCACCCTGGCCGTCCCTCTGCGGGGGGTGCATACCCAGTAACACCCACTTTGCTTTGGTTTGGGGCCTTGGAAGACCAACCGCAGCGCCTTCCAGTGCCTGCAGAAGTACCAGCAGCACAACAAGGCTCTGAAGCGCAAGGAGTGGACGCGGGAGGAGGACCGCCTGCTCACCCAGCTCGTCCAGGAGATGCGCGTCGGCAGCCACATCCCTTACCGGAGAAGTGAGTGTCTGCGTGGGCCCTGCTCCCTGTGCTCCCCGCTGAGGCTCGCGAGCCTCCAGACCCAAGGCCCCTCACGGGTGGAGGCAGCTCAGTCATGACAGGCATGAGGGGCTGGAGGGGGACGTCTGGGGTCACCCAGCCCCCGCACCCCATGGCCCAGTGACCTAGTGACCAGAGCAGCTCCTTGCTGAGTGACCCAGGAAGCGCGGTGCCCATCAGGCCCCTTTGTCCCCAGTTGTCTACTACATGGAAGGGAGAGACTCCATGCAGCTCATCTATCGGTGGACCAAGAGCTTGGACCCCAGCCTGAAGAAGGGGTTCTGGGCCCCAGAGGAAGACGCGGTGAGTATACGGTCGTAGAAGCCAAGGAGAGCCGTCCTCTGGGATGTGAGCCTCGGCGCCCACTGTCCCTTCTGAAATGGACTGATGCGGGCTGGGGAGCTTACGGCTGCCTGCAGAGGCCTTACTCGTTCGCTGTCCTTTCCTGCAGAAGTTGCTTCGAGCAGTTGCCAAATACGGGGAGCAGGATTGGTTTAAAATCCGGGAAGAGGTGCCAGGTAGGAGCGATGCCCAGTGCCGAGATCGGTGAGTTGGACCCCGCTGGGTGAGGGAGGCCTTGCTGGGGTTGCTTCCGGATAGGCCGGAGGGTGGGCGAGCAGCCTGTGGCCCCAGGGGTTCTGCTGGCAGAGCTGGGGTGGCCTGGGAGCCCTGCGTAGCCGGGGTGTCTGGTCAGGAAGCAGGATGCCTGTTGGTTTTTTTGAACCAGACTTTTGTACAGGCTCAACCTGAGGGGGCCCAGGGGGCGTTTCCCTGACCCTGTTGCTGGAGCTCCTGTTCCAGACCCCTGACGACAAGGTCTCTGGAAGGCCGCTTTGGCGACGTTCTTTTCTCAGCCTGTTTTTTTTTTAACGGCTCATAACAACCTAATTTGTATGTTGTGTAACTTACTCCCATGAGGGTTGTGGTTCTGGGGGGTTACTGTCCTCGGTGAGCTGTGCAGCCGCACCCCCAGGCAACTTCAGAACGCTGTGACCACCCCCCAGAGAAACGCCGTTTCCCAACAACAACAACAAACAACTGAGGGAAGGGACGAGGGCTCGAATAGACCCTTCTCCAGAGAGCGCACGAGACTCGGCCTGGTGTCGTCAGTCGTTGCAGAAACACGGGGAGAGCGGCCGCGGGATGCCACGTCGCGCATCGGGACGGTGGTTTTAAGGCCGCACGAAAGGGCAGGTGCAGCCGAGGGTGCGGAGCGTGCGTGGTGTGGGTGCCGCGGACGAGCTGCGGCGCTTCCTTGGGCAGTTAGCCGTGGAACCGCAGTGTTGCCGGCGAACTGCCGCCCGCCCGCCCGCGGGAACCGGGAGCCGGGCCTCACACGGGCACCTACGCACGCGTGGTCATAGCCACAGGGGTCACGGTGGCCGCGCGGCAGGAGCCGACCATGTCAGTGGAGGAAGAGGTTAGCGACAGAAGCCGTTCTCCAGCTGGGTGGACGCTAGGGTACCGCTGGGCCTTGATGACGAGACCCCAGGGCGCCTGGTTGGCGTGGTCAGTGAGCGCCCAACTCCTGATCTTGGGGCCATGGGTTCGAGCCCCGCGTTGGGTGTAGAGAGGACTGAACAGATAAGCAGACCAAGTCCCGACACACCCCCCGTGGGTTCGCCTTGGCAACGGGAGCGTCTGTGGACGGGCACGCTCATTGCTCTTGGACGTGTGCCTGCGAGTGGGGTTTTCAGGGCATGTGATGCTGTGGTTTCCCGCGGCGGCAGCCCCACCCTGTGCCCCCGTGGGAGACACCCTCACCAGCCCCCGGGAGCCCCGGCTCCGGCAGGCGTGGGGTGTCAGGTGGCGTCTCAGTGGCTTCTGTTCACGGCTCCCTGACGGCTCCTGGCATTGAGCGTCTGTGTGTGTTGACCGGCCCTTTGCGTGTCTTTTCTGGAGAAACGTCTATTTTTGTTGTTTGCTCAGTTAAAAAAGCAAGTTGTCTTTGTGTCACGGGCTAGTGTGAGTTGATACGTGTTCGGCTACAAGTCCCTTATCCGAGGCCTCATCTGCCCGTCTTTCTCGCTGGCATCCTGTGAGACACATCAAGGTTTTAATTTTCACGAAGTTCAGTTATTCTGTGTTTTCTGTTCGTCCCCTGAGCTTTTGGTGCCGGGTCTCAGGAGCCCTTGCCGGCGTGGGGACAGCCACGGGAACGTGGAAAGCCTCAGGAGGGCGTTCTGGTGCCCGAAACACCCCCGTGTCCTTCCCGCTTTCAGGTACCTCAGACGACTGCACTTCAGCTTGAAAAAGGGACGATGGAACGCAAGTGAGGAGGGGAAGCTGCTTGAGCTGATCGAGAAGTACGGTGTTGGTGAGTCCTGGGCCTCTGCAGGCCCTGAGCCCCCAGGAGGCGCGGCTCGCGGAGACCCCAGCTGCCTCCCTGTCCCCAGCTTCTCCCCAGCTCAGTGGGCAGCAGCTTTTCCCCCTTGCGCACTGCGGAACGGTCGGGTTGGAAAGTTCAGGAGCGCCGTCACTCCACTCCTGTCTTGGAGGTGGCTGCTGCTGGCCACGTGCACCTGCCCAGCCCACTCTCGGGGCCCTTTTCTAGGGCAGGTTTTTTTAAAGTTGAGTCACTCGGTGTGAGTTCACGGATTCCACCGCTTCTCACTTAGCGTTCTGTTGTCCGTTGTGAATGTTCTTCTGTCTTCACGTGTCCTGTGTTCTCCCGTTGTTGTCGACACCCACATCCTGTCTCCTTGAGGAAGAGCACAGAACTTCCTCAGCCGCCTATCTCTTGACGGACGTTTCCGTTGTTTCTCATTTCTGCCGCCGAGCTGGAAGGAGCCAAGGGCTCGGTCGCTGCATCTGCTTATTATCTGCGGCATCTCCTTAGGAACAGACCCTAGACGTGGCATTGCCAAGTTCAGGTGTATGCAGAATCCTGAGTGTGGCACGGAGTCACACTGCCCTGAAAACAAGGTCCCAGCGTCCTCCCCCCATGGGGTCGGGAGAGAGAATAATTTGCCGTGTTTGGTGTAGAAGCCGGGGTGTGGCAGAATCGCAGGGTCCGTGTTTACATAAACGCAGATGGTTTTTTTCCTCTTGTGTGTGTGTTCTCTAGAGTCTTGCTAAAGGGCTGATTATCCGTTGAGAATCTGAAGGCCCGCTTGTCACAGAGCTTCTCCGATGTGGGGAGCAGCGTGCAGCGGAGCGCGTGTTCTCACGGAACACGGTGCAGGTCTTCTGCGGGAGACTGCGCGTCTGCGAGAAGAGCCTCTCGTTCAGGTTGTAAACGTGTCATCAAAGACCGTGGGAAGCAACTTCTGCGTTGTCTTGCTTTTGTAGGTCACTGGGCAAAAATAGCTTCTGAACTACCCCATCGGACGGGCTCCCAGTGTCTGAGCAAGTGGAAGATCATGGTCAGGGTGAGGCTTTATCAAAAGTCAGTCGAAGGCCCTGTACCCGTGGGACCAGCATCACCGCCGGGCGGGGAGGGGAGGAGGGACGTCTGGCTTCTGGCCCTGGCATCTCTTCTTCCCGGAAGCCGAGGGCAGAGAGCCCCGGCCTCTCCGACAGCTGCTGTCACCTCAGAGCATTCGGGGGAGCGGGGTGCCGTGCTCCCCACGCGCCGTGTCCAAACCTGCTTGGGGTCTCTCCCCAAAGGGCTGGCCTGCCTGCCTGTTGTCCCTGGTCCGTGAGCCCTGGGCGGCCGAGGCCTCCAAGTAGCCCTTCCCCACAGAAGAAGCAGAGTCGGGGGAGGAGGCGGCGGCGGCCCCTTGGCAGCGTGCGGTGGAGCTCCAGCAGCGGGGACAGCAGCAGCGGGGACAGCAGCAGCGAGGACGGCAGCAGCGGGGACAGCGAGGACTCGGAGCCAGAGGAAGCCCCAGAGGCCGGGGCAGGTGGCCAGGCGCTGCCGTCCGCACAGCACACTGTGCCGGACATGGACCTGTGGGTGCCTGCCAGGCAGAGCGCCAGTGAGCCGTGCGGAGGGGGAGCCCGGGGCTGGCCAGGACGCCGTGCCGCCCCCCCCAGCCCTCCCAGGGCCTCCAGCGAGCCTCAGGCCAGCAGAGCTGCTTGCCCCACAGCCTCGGGTCCCGCAGAGGAGGCGGGCCAGGCACACACTCCCTCCGGGACCCACGGCACCAGCGTGAGCGGCATCAGGCACCCAGGCTCGGCGGACACGCGCCTCTCGAGCCCAGAGGAGCCGGCAGACGAGGTAGGCCCCAGACCCCAGTGCACCCCACGTGGCTGCTCGGGGGTCACCCAGCTGGTGCTGGGGCACAGCAGGCCGGCCTGCGCTCGCATCAGCTGCGTTCCTGGCTGCGGCGGGGCAGACGCCCGTCCTGGCTCCAGAGAACATTGGCTTCTGGTCCTCAGCAGACTCGTGTCCAGGGCAGCAGCCTCTGCTTCCCCAGGTTTGCTTTATGGGCCGTGCAGGAGAGCTGCTTGGGGTTCTGCCGGGTGGGCCCGCAGACTTGGAGTCATTTCTGACCTGTTTGTCCCCGAGCAGGGGTGGGGCGGGGGCAGCAAGCAGGAGGGTGTCCCCTTGGCTTGCGGAAGTCCAGGCACCTCTCCCGTGCAGGGTCCCACTGTCCCCTGGCCCTGTGTATGCCTGTCCCAGTCAGCGTCCGAGGTGTCCGGGCCCTGGCCGCCTCCCTGGCTCTGGCCATGTGCGGAGTTGCGGTGAGCAGGCTGGCCTGTCCTGGGAGAGGTTGGAGATTCTGGGGCACCTGAGGGGACAGCGGGCTGTCCAGGCAGCCGGGCAGACTGCACGCGGTGCCATCAGCTTGGGGGCTGGCCGGGGGAGCAGGGGCCCTCTGCTGGTGCTGGCTGCAGCCAAGCCGGGCAGGCGTGTGGGTGGCCAGGCCTCAGGGACCCGCCTGAGGCCGCCATGCTTCAGAGAGCCTCCACCCCCCCCGCGTTGGGGTCGGGGCGCAGGGGCGTGCGTGCTGTCTCTGAAGGCCCTGCGCCAGGGCCCCCCACGCGCCCAGCCTCACGCTGTCTTTTCGTTAGAGTGGGAGTCATCTGCTGAAGGTGCCACTGGAGAGCGTGCTGCAGGTGCTCAGGACCAACACAGCCCGCTGGCGCCAGGCTCTGGTAGGAGCCCCCGCCACCCCCCGCTACCACTGCCCTGTCGGCCCAGGGCCCCTCCCCAGTCCAGGGAAGGAGTGGAGGATGGCAGGGGGGGCCATGCGCAGCCCTGGAGCTCAGCCTGGCTGGGAAGCCCAGGTGTCTTTCTTCCTTACACAGAAGGAGAAACTGAGGCAGCCGTGCCCGCTCAGCCCGTCCCTGGGGGCCAGCCCCAGTGACAGCGGTGTGGCCGGGCCCCATGTACGGCGGCTGTGGCACAGGACGGTCGGGAACAGGCGGCGGTGGCGGGGACACGCCCTGCAGAGGAGGCTCGTTGAGCGCCAGCTTCTGGTGGCCATGAGCCCGTGGGTGGGCGACGTTGTCTTGCCCTGCACCCGCCGGAGGCCTGCCGCCATGCACACCCGAGGTACTGCCCCAGGGAGGGCTCCTTTGAGAGCCTCCTGGGGGGCCCGGCGGGGAGATGCAGGGCAGATGCGGGGTGATCCTGCTGGGGAGAGGGTGCACGGGGAGGGACCCGTGTGCCGATCTCGTCTTTCTAGAAAGCGTGCCCTTGGAGGGCTGTTTGGGTTTTGTCTCTTTCTTGCTCAGCACACGAGGGACAGTGTGGGAATGACCAGCCACTTGGGCCTTCGCAAGGGTCTTCTCGGGGCTCGGGTGGGCGGTGCCTGCGTGCAGGTTTCTGCAGAGCTGGTTGTGTTCTCGGGCCGGGGGGGGTACTTCAAAGGCCAGTCGGGGCCGGCCTGCCCTCTGGGCTCCTGCCCTTCCTTCTGGCTGAGCATGGCGGCAGATGGATGTGGGGTTCTTTGGGGCCTCAGGGAGAGGGGCCTTGGTAACCGCACATGTGTGCGCTTGTCCCCTCAGCCGATGGCATCGGGAAGCAGCTGCGAGACGCCCAGCTGGCCAGCACTCCCGCGTTCACCATCTTTATCCAGGTGAGAAGCCCCGCAGGCAGAGCTTTCCTGTTTTGTGCTTGGTTTTCTTTGGGTGAAGATGGATTCACTTCTTAAAGTCTAACTTCTTGAAGTTTTAGACCCTTGGAAAGGGCCTTTCAGTGGCTTGCGACGCTTAGCAGGCCAGCCGCTGTGGAAGGGACAGCCCCGTCCCTGCCACCATCAGTTAAACCTCATCCTGAGAAGGGACGGGGGTGCTGGGAGCCCCAGTGCGTAAATGGAAGCTCAGAGAAAGGAGACCCCGGCCCGGAGGGAGCTCTACTCCGATGCCCCTGGGCCCTGAGGCCAGGCGGGGGCTGAGCAAAGGGGTCATGGCCTTGAGGGGCTGTGCTGGACTCCGGACCTACCCCGAGCAGTGGTCAGAGCCGGCTCAAGTTCATCGCAGACGCCCTTGTCATCTTAGCCCTGGGCGGGGAAGGGGGACAGGCTCTTGTCATGTGTGTGCCATGCACGTGTCACACGCGTCCCTCAGCTGTTCCAGATTGACACTGCTGGGTGCATGGAGGTCGTTCGAGAGAGGAAGGCCCAGACCCCTGCCCTGCTCCAGGCTGGCACTCGGGACCCAGTGCCTGGGCTCCTACAGGTGAGAAGTAGGGGGTGAGCACCCGGTCTCTGCCACCCTCCCTCCTCTTCCCGACGCGGCAGGGCCAGTGCTGGGGTGGGTAGCAGCTGTCCAGCCAGAGAGTAAGAGACAGGAGGCATTCCCGGGTCCCCCGGAGGGGAGGCTGGTCCAGCCCCTGAGAGCAGCCCTCCTGGCTCTTGGGCCTCTCACGGCAACCCTTCTAGGAGGTGTTTGCTCATCTGCGTGGAGCCCTGAGGGCTTCACAACATGTCGGGGTGGGAGGGGGCAGAGCTGGTACTGTGCCGCCCCTGCGTGGAGGTCTCCAAGCTCTTGGGCATCTACTGCTCTGGGCATTGGCCCTGCTGGGGTGGGATGCCAGGTGTGGGAGAGGTCACGTTCCCGGGTCAAGTTACAACTCTGAAGGGAATGACAGAACGACCAGGTTGGCCCTGTGGTGCCATCCAGGCCCCAGAGACCCCAAGTCCTTCTGCCTGGGGAGCCAAGCCCCTGCCTCTCTCTCAAACCCCACACAGGCCTGACTTCACTGTGATGAGCTCACCCGGTGGTGCCTGTAGGAGGATGTGGGGAGGGAGGGAGGCCGGCCCTGGTGCTTGGGCCTTGCTCCCACTGCAGGTGAGAGCAGAAGGAAGGCTTTGCTGCAGGTGGAGAAGAGCAGGTCTGGGCCCTGGGACTTCCCTGAGACGCACACTCTTGTTTTTCAGATGTCTTCGTCGCAGAACCCTGCAGGTATTGTCTGTCCTCTTGCCTTGACTATCTAACCTAATGGGAAAGGGGTGTTGGATCTCGGGTTCTGACCAGCACAGCTGTGGCCCTGGTGATAGGTCTTGTCCGAATCCCACGGCAGTGGCAGAAGCGTGGCCGGCGGGAGTGGGCAGAGGCAGCTCCTCGAGCTCCTACCTGCTCCGCACATAAGCCAGCCCGGGGCATCCAGGAGGGGCCTCTGCTGCTGGCTGCCACCAGCCTCCCCACACCAGCAGCATCGTGCGAGGCTCTGGGGGCTGGGAGACCACGCGAGGAGGGCGGTGGTGCCCAGTGGTCGTTGTTTTGAAGATACCGAAGGCGCGGGGCTGGTGGCCGGTACCTGGCGGGCCGTGCTGCCCTGGCTGCAGCAGGAGCTCGAGGAGGTCTGGGAACATGCAGATCAGATGCCAAAGCTCCTGCTCTGTACTCCCAGCAGCCGCCCACCCTCCAGGACGGCCCTCCGATGGGACATGGGGGAGGCACGTCTGCAGTCCGCACGCGTGGAGCTCATCCGCATCTGTGTTGTGTCTTCTCTGCAGGCCGCAGCTCCGGGAATCCGCCAGCGCGAGAAGCTGCAAAGCAGAGCACCGGCCACAAAGGGAGCAGGGGTTTACAGCCCTGCCATGCCGAGTCCAGCCCACCAGCGCCCCCGCCCGCTCCGTGTGGCCCCCGGCCCAAGCCCAAGACCGTCTCCGAGCTGCTGCGGGAGAAGCGGCTTCGGGAGGCCCGGGCCAGGAAGGCCGCCGCCCCAGGCGCCGTGGCTCTCCCACCACAGCTGCTGCTGTCCTCGCCACTGGTCCTCCAGCCCCGTCTACCGCAGGCCCCCCCCACCCCCGAGGCCCCGGGCCCGGCTGCCACAGACACGGCGCTCTCTGGGCCTGGGATCCCTGCAGCAGTGGGGCTGAGTACTTCAGGCAAGAACGAGAGACCCTCCACCCTGCCAGTCTTGGACCGCACCCTGGCCTCCACAGAGGCTGCCCCTGCTGCCTCCAGAGCTCCAGTTCCCAGCCGGGTCCTTGTGAGTGGCCATCAGGGTGGCCTGGGACAGTCTCAGGCCCCAGCCGCGTCCCGGAAGCAGGGCCTGCCTGAGGCACCACTCTTTCTCCCGGCAGCCCCCAGCCCCATTCAGCTGCCTCTCCAGCCCCTCAGCCTGCCACCAGCTCTGGGCACCCTCAAGGGTGGGCCTCACGTGGCGGCCAGCACGCCTCTGCCTGTCACCTGGGTGCTCACAGCCCAGGGGCTGCTCCCGGTGCCAGCCGTGGTGGGCCTTCCTGGGGCGGCAGGGACCTCTGGTCCCAAGGGACTGTCTGTCACTCTGCCGTCCTCCCTGCCTGGGATGCAGGTAGGCCAGGGCCCCAGGCCCCCTGGGCTGAGCCACCCCTGGCAGCCCCCGGCCAACGTGGACACAGACTCAGATTCTCTCTCCAGGACAGACCTCTCGACCCTTCCGATGCCTTGCCAATCCCAAAGTTCTGTGGAAGTGGGCAGTGACGTGGCCCGTGCCCCTGGGGGACCTTTCCCCGGAGAGGCCCAAGTGGCCAGGGAAATAGCTGTGCCCAGGATACCCTCCCAGGCCACACTTCTGGCTGACCATCCTGAGGCAAAACCCCCGTGGTCCAGCCAGCCCCCTCTGCAAGCTGGCACTAGCCCTGGGAGTGGCCCAGGAGGGACACTGGGGTACCTGGGCCCAGGGGGACTCACGGGACCTCTGGGCCTAGAGAGGCCACCCCCACCCCGGCCTGGGCCTGAGAGGGGTGCCTTGGACCTGGACCTCCTGTCCCAGGAGAGTGAGGCAGCCGTGCGGGATTGGCTGAGGGGACAGCAGGGGGTGTGCGTGCCCCCGCTAGGGAGCAGGCTGCCCTACCAGCCCCCAGCCTTGTGCAGCCTGCGGGCCCTGTCTGGACTCTTGCTGCACAAGAAGGCCTTGGAGCGGAGAGCCACCTCCCTCGTGCCCAGTGGGGCAGCCGGAGGCCTGCAGGCCTCGCTGGGACAGGTGCAGAGGCAGCTCCAGGACAGCCCGGCCTACCTGCTGCTGAAGGCGCGGTTCCTGGCAGCCTTCACCCTCCCCGCACTCCTGGCCACCCTGTCTCCCCACGGCGTCCCCACCACCCTGTCGGTGGCCACGAGGGCCGAGCCGGAGAGCGAGGATGACCTGGGGGAGTTGGAGCTCACTGATGGCTGCTCCCCAAGTGGTCCTCGGGCGGGGCCGGCAGCCACCATCCCCATTCAGGTAGGCGGCCGTGGGCACAGAGCCGCCCCCCTGCTCCCCCGTGGCCGTCTGCAGCGCCCCCACCCGGTTGTGGGTGGGAGTTTGGCCAGTAGGGCTGGCCCACTGGTTGCTGGGGAGGAGAAAGCTGGCTCCAGGCCTGTTCAGTCTGTGTGGATGTGGCCCTCCCTGAGGCCAGTGTGGAAAACAGGAAGGAACCTCTACACTCACGACGCCCCTTGGCCCCTCTTGGGGCTGCTGCCCCCACTACAAAGCCTTGCCTGAGGGAGCGGGTGACCTCGGGCCCTGTGCTCCCCGCGCACATACGGGCTTCTGCATTGGGGTGCTAACTCCACAGAGGTGGGCCTGCGCTTGTTCTTGCGCATCTGGGGACACCGAGGTGTCCTTCTAGCTGTCACCTCTGGCACCATGTACCCCAAAAGAGCTTTCTGAGCCATGGAGGCAAACCTCTTTCCTTATTCCCTAGCCAGAAGCCTGATACAAAACATGCAGGAAGGTGTCCCTATGTCCTCTGTGGCTGCGTGTGCCCACGGGGCTCCCAGCACGTGTCCTCTGGCCCTGTTCCTGGGGCCAGCAGGAGAGCCAGGCCACCTCATTGTGTGTCACGTCAGGGAGGTTGTGGGGTCTCCTGCAGGGGGTGGCCCTTCCCCAGCTGGGGCTTTGCGGAGGCAGCGTCTGTGGCTGGTGAGGGGGGAGGGCCTCCTGTCCCCTGGCCTGCGTGCAGGCTCTCCACTGTCATCCACCTGCGTTCCTCGGCACCGCCCTGCCAGCCTGGCTGGGAGAACCGGGACACGGGAGGCTGGCTCTCCAGCGTCACCAAGGGGACTGGGGGGTTGGTGGGAAGCCAGAGCCCGCATGTGGCCGTGTCTCTCTTGCGGGAGCCTCAGTTCGTTTGCAAGCCACAGTGTCTCTGCGGGGACAGGTCTGGGGAGCTGCATGTCCCTGGCACTGCAGCTTCCTCCCTGGTGTGACTCCTCACGGCCCCCACTTTCCCTGCCTGTTCTGCTAGGGAGTCACTCTTGTCCTCTGCCTGGGTTTTTTTTTTCCAGGGAGCCCCAGACCCTGGGCAGGGTTCTGACTCTTCCTGCCTGGATGGTCCTGACAACCTTGATGTGCTGAAAACCAGGCACGCCTGGCACGCCCGGAAGAGGAGGCGGCTGGTGTGAGCGCAGGGTAAGCGTGGGCCTTCCCCGTGGCTCCGCTCTGGGCACGTGGGAACCACAGCTGTCCAGATGCAGGGCAGGCTGGCCCTTAGCAGCTCGCGTCAAGTGTGATGGTGTTAGGTGGGGTGTGGGTATGTACAGGCCTCTCGGGGCAGGCCCGGGGTTGTGGAGGCCCCCGGGGGACGGGCCATCTAATCCCCCTCACCCGTTGGGTTCCACACCCCAGGCTCTGGTGCTTCCTTCGTGCTAGCACACATGTGCCTCAGGGCCTTTGCACTGCTGGACCCTCTGCGTAGCTTCCTCCTCCTCTGTCTGTAGGGCTCATTCCCTTTGTCCGATCACATCTCTGCTCAGTGATCACCTCCTCAGAGATGCAGTCTAGGACTGTTCTCCTGAGGGAGTGCCATTGTCCCAGCGTCATTTTTCTTGATGGCACTCTGCTCTCTACACCTGACACGGTCTATATGCATATTTGTCATTTCTGCCATGAACGTGTGCCTGTACGGAGAGTAACGTAGTTTTTGCTGCTGGGGCCCCAGTGTGCAGACAACAGGCACCAAGGAGGCCCTCAGCACAGATTAGTTGAGTTCATGGGGTGGAGAACCCATGGGGGGGAAGGACTCTGTCCAGGTCCACAGGTCCCCAGAGACAGGAGCCAGTTCCCCTGAGCATGGTGGGGGCTGTGCCCTGAGAGGTCCTGGCTCCTGGAATAGGGCAGATGGGTCCACAGAGGGGATGCCAACGGCGGGGGTGTCCCTTGGAAGCCCACCCAGGCCCCAGGGTCTGCCCTCAGCATGGCCGCTGTGTGGACTGCAGGTGGGCAGCCCACCTGCTTCTGCTGTGCCCTCAAAGGGGGCATGGTGCCAGCTTTGGTTCCTGCCCTGCAGCACCGTCCATGGGGTCTGGCTGGGAGTCTGGGGGTCCCCACCATCAGAGCATCTTTGCATTCCAGGAGGCAGGAGCCGTGCTGGACCCTGGTGAGCCCACCTGCCCGGAGAGCCCCTCACCGACCCTTCCGGAGAAAGCCAAAGCAGCTGGAGATTGGGGAGGCTCCGCTAGCAGGGACCGTGAGGCCAGAGGGGCTTGGCTGGTCCTCAGGCACAAATTGGGATGTTTGAAGGAATAAAGGAATGGCTTATTTTTTTTATTAAAAAGCAAGCCGCCAGGCTCTTGTGATGTTGCCCCGAGAGACCGGGCAGTGTGCAGAGGGTTGGGGCCTCCTCTGGCCGCATCGGGAGCCGGCGGGCTGGGCCCTGAGATCCGAGGAGCCCCCTGAACCCCAAGCCTCAGTGTTGGATGTGGGGTGCCCTTTCCACGAGACATGCTTGTGGCTCAGACCGCGGGGCCTGCCACGAGCTCCCAGGTGGCCGCTGGTCTTGGTGCGGCCACGGGGACTGGGGCGGACCCGCCTCGCTGCCTTCTGCCCACACGGCTAACCCAGGTGGGCGCCTGGAACCAGCGGCAGTCAAGCTACCGATAAGTGGTGCAGTGGCCCCAGGCCAGGCCGCCTTCCTCCCGAGCGGCTGCTGCTTGGCAGGAGGCCAGGCCCCAGCACCATCCACAGCCCTGCCTGAGGGGCGCTCAGCCTTGGCTTTGGTGGGCAGCCTTTTGAGGCACTTGGTTCTAGAGGCTTTGTTCTGTGTTCTCCACGTGTGACCCTCCCCCGGGTACCGCACCCTCTGGGACTGACCCACCACCACACAGCCCCGTGAAAGTGCTTTCACTTTTCAGTTTGTGCCCAGTGCTTTCTTGGCTCGTTTCTACTTTTCCTAGGGGCTTCTTTGGACCTGTGGTTATTTAGAGGTTTCTGTTTAATTTTCGAATGTCTAAGGATTTTCCAGTTAGCTTTTTGTTACTGATTTCTAGTTTCTGATATGAAGAACATGATGTTTCTGTCGTTGAATCTTTACAAACCCCACCATGAGGGAGACACCTTTTATTAGCTTCGTTTTGCAAAACGGGGGGACACCGGTGGTCACAGCTCCAGGCCCAGGACTGCCTGCTTCTGGAGGTGTGATGTCAGCCTCTGTCCTCCCAGAGACCTGCGGGGGCCGGGTGGGGCAGGCTACCCGCCGCCCTGTGATTCAAGATGCGCTGGAGGCAGAGCCCAGGGACTGAGGATGGAGAGCCCACAGGCAGGGGGCCGGTCAGGCGAGCGGCAGCTGCCTCGGGAAGGTGGAGCCGGGAGCCCTGGTCAGGACCCTAGCTGTGGCCTCAGCCTGGCAGCCGGCATCTCCGGCCAACCGGCACAGCTGCCCCGGCAAGGCATTGGCCTGGGGTTGGTTTGTGGGGGGCACGGGGAGTCGCCTCGGGGTCCTGGGAGCCGGCTGTCACAGTCCCGTGTGTCCCGGGTGGAGAGAGCCTGCTGAGGGGAGACACTTCCAAGAAGGGACGGGCGTGTGCTGGGCTAGCTGTGGTGCGGGCTGGTGGCCATGTGGGGCAAGCGTGGCCGGGCCCCTGGCCTCCTGTGGGCCACAGCGGCCTCTCCAGCCACGTGCCCTCTTGATGCTACACGGCAGCCCTCATGTGATCAAGGCCCCTGCTGGCCGGCTGCGTGTGTGGGCCCCTGGCGGAGAGCCCAGAGTTGGGCCCCAAGCCCTGGGATCCCCACCTGCACCTTGCAGGCTGCCTGCACTGCTGGGCCCCAGCCGGCCCCTGCTGGAGAAGCCTCCGGAAGCCTGCGTCCAGGCCAGAGCAGGCTGGACGGTGCACTGGCCTCCTCCGGCTGCGGGGAGGGTCTTTGCGCACACTTCCACTTAGTGGGCACCAGGGCTGGGCCTCCAGGCCTCTGAGCGAGACTTCCACTTTCCTCCGCCCCGCCTCCCGGGCCCTGCCAGGCAGACGAATCAGAAGGCAGGCCCAGGGACCGGCTCCCTTGGGCAAGACCTGCCGGGCTCCGTGGAGCTAACCAGCACCATCAGGAAGTGCACAGCTTTCCTCCTGGGCTCTGCCGGCCGGCCTGCAACACCTCCTCCTGTTCGTCGGATCGGGCTGGCCCAGGGTGGCCAGCGCCCCACCGTGCAGGTGCCCCTCCAGGACCCTGAGGTAGGTGGGATTGCTGCCCCTTCTGAAGGTGCCAGGAAGACGCCTCTCTGCTCAGGGCTCCTGGGGCAGGGAGCCGGGTGCTGGGGCACCTGCCCCAGAAGGGCAGCAAGTGGTCTCAACTCTTCTGCCCTGTCCGCCTTCACAGCCACGTGGTACCTGCTGGTCCGTCTCAGGGGACTTAGCAGCAGGGTGTCCGGTGTGGGACTTGTGGATTTGAGGCGGGAGAGGCGGGGAGCGGGCTGAACGTTCCAAGGGCCACCCACCGAGTGCTGGTGTGTGTGTCTGGCTGGATGGGATGACCGAGGGCCACGGGAAGTCGGAGAAACTCCTGCAAAGACCCCGCCTGCTGCCACCTGGACCTCTGGGAGCGTGGTCTAGCCCCTCTGAGCTGGAAACCATGTTCCCACGCCGGCTGAGGGCGCTCTGGGGCGGCAGCGGGTCAGTGTCTCCGTCCCCGCCACCAGGAGGAGGCTTCTGGTTTGGCCCAGGCCTCAGAGAGTGGTTCCCGCCCCCGCTGGTGGAAGGGAGCAGCAGTGGGTGGTCCCAACACGGATGGCCCCCTTGCTGGGGAGCCCGAGCGCCTGGGAACAGGCTTCATCTGGGAGGGGAGAGGAGCCCCGCGGTGGCTGGTGCCCAGGACCTGAGAGCCTGCAGAGGGCGCCCGAGCGGCTCTGGGGCTGGCCGTGGGCGATGCAGCGGGCCTGGCTCCCCCGTGGGCGGTCCGCAGTCGCCCTTCCCGAGCGAGCCGCCTGGACCACTGTTGCACCACCAGCCAGCTGCCGGAAGGAGGAGGCGGTGGGGCTAAGCTCTGAGCGGCCGCCAGGTCCAGGAAGGAGGAAGTCCCCCACAGCCCTGCCTGGCACGCACGGGCGGGCGGGTCACCGTCCCAGGGTTGCCGCCCCAGCCTGGGTGCCTGCCTCCCCACACGTGCCCGGGGGGCGCTGCCAGTGGGTAGGAGGCGGTGGCCTGCCAGCCCCACACTTCCGGGATGGGGAGTGCAGAGTCCAGAGCAGGGCCACGGTGTGGGGCGTGCAGTGTTCTCAGACGCCACCCATCCCTGGAGCCCTCCACGTCTTCCCCCACTCTCATCAGGGCGACCCAGGGACGGGGAAAGCCCATGCGCCGGGGGGGCGGGGGGCGGGCAGCAGGGCCCAGGGAGGGCTGCCCTGGCTGAGCTGGTGCCCCAGGTCACAGCACCAGCACCGAGGAGGGACCCGTGAGGCCGCACACCTGTCCTGGACACCCCCAGCCGGTCCCGGCCTGTGGCCGCCCCTCCCAGCAGTTCTCCCACCGACCACAGCCGTGGCCACCGCCATGTCAGACTACGAGAACGAGGACCAGTGCTGGAATGCTCTGGAGAGCTTCCGCGTGAAGCTCATCTCCATCATCGACCCCTCACGCATCACACCCTACCTGAGGCAATGCAAGGTGCTGAACCCCGACGATGAGGAGCAGGTGCTCAGTGACCCCAACCTAGTCATCCGCAAGCGGAAAGTGGGTCAGTGCCGCCTCATCCAGGAGCTTCGGGCACGGGAATGGGCACTCCCCAGCACCCCATACCTTGTCCCTCCTGCTGGGAGCAGTGGTGCTTCCGTGCGCAGCAGAGGCCCCGGGGAGAGCCCAGGGCGGTGGGCAGGATGGCCACGGCCCCAGCCAGGTCCTGTGGGTTTCAGGCGTGCTCCTGGACATCCTGCAGCGGACCGGCCACAAGGGCTATGTGGCCTTCCTCGAGAGCCTGGAGCTCTACTACCCACAGCTCTACAAGAAGGTCACGGGCAAGGAGCCCACCCGTGTCTTCTCCATGATCATCGGTGAGGCCTGGGGCCCCGCAGGCAGGCCGCTGATGGCTGGCCTCCTGATGGATAAACTGGGGACAAAAGGAGGTGGAAGGGGCACACTGGATTGCAGCAGCTCCGTCCTGCTCCTTCTCTCTCTGCTGGAGGAAGGCGGACCCATACTGGGGTGGGGGACAGAGGGCCCCATGGTTCCTGGGTCAGAACCCCCCTGACGCCACCAAAGCCTCGGCTCCTGGAAGGACGGGCGTCTGCTGGCCCCAGCAACAGGCGAAGCCACACTTCCCTGGCCTGGACGCATGTCCTCTTGCCTCACAATCAAGATCGTGACAAAATGAGCCGAAGGGGGAGGGTGCCTGGCCTCACGGCTGCCGTCCTGGGGCTGGGCCGGGGACAGGGCCGCAAGGTGAGTCAGGAGCTCTGCCTGCTTCCTTGAAGGGGAGCACCAGCACCTTTGGGTGGCCCCTCGGCCGGGCCCCGAGCCTCCTGCAGTGGGGTGGCCGGCCCTCAAGCCTGGAGCCCGGGAGGGGCTGCAGCAGGGCAGCCGTGGGCCGGGCGGGCCCTCTGACGCAGCCCAGCTGTCTGCAGACGCATCTGGGGAGTCGGGCCTGACCCAGCTGCTGATGAGCGAGGTGCTGAAGCTGCAGAGGAAAGTGCAGGACCTGACCCAGCTGCTGAGCTCCAAGGACGACCTCATCAAGGAGCTGCGGGTGAAGGACAGCCTGCTCCGCAAGCACCAGGAGCGCGTGCAGCGGCTCAAGGAGGAGTGCGAGGCGGGCAGCCGCGAGCTCAAGCGTTGCAAGGATGAGAACTACGACCTGGCCATGCGCCTGGCCCGTCAGAGCGAGGAGAAGGGCGCCGCGCTCATGCGGAGCCGCGACTTGCAGCTGGAGGTGCCCTGGCACCCATGGCGGGAGGGTGGGGGGCGCGGGGCGAGGCTGGCCGGCTGACGGGGTCTTCCCGCAGATTGAGCGGCTCAAGCACAGCCTCATGAAGGCGGAGGATGACTGCAGGGTGGAGCGCAAGCACACGCTGAAGCTCAGGCACGCCATGGAGCAGCGGCCCAGCCAGGAGCTGATGTGGGAACTGCAGCAGGAGAAGACACTGCTGCAGGCGCGCGTGCGGGAGCTGGAGGCCACCCTGCAGGTGGGGCGCGCGTGCGGGAGCCGGGGGCCGCCGTGCCGGCGGGGTGAGTGCTCATGGGAGCTGGAGGGGCCTCCCCTCTAGTCTAGCTGCTTCTCTACCACTCTCTCCCCTTCACCACCCGCAGGAGGGGAAGCCGGACAAGAGCAGTCCCTACATCCAGGTGCTGGAGGAGGACTGGCGACAGGCACTGCGGGACCACCAAGAGCAAGCCAACACCATCCTCTCTCTGCGCAAGGACCTGCGGCAGGGCGAGGCTCTGCGTGCCCGGGTATGCCGCCGGGGCAGGTGGACTTCAGCCTGGGCCAAGCAAGCCAGGCCGGGTGGGCTGAGGGACTGCCCTGTGTGCACGCAGCCCCTGGAATTCACACCCCGACTTCACCCCTTCCTGGAGGTGCAGGGGCTTGGCCTCCTCACCCCACTCCCGGCCCGTACTCCCCCAGGCTTTGGTCTGGAAGTTCAGAGTTGGCAGGGACCCAGGGCCTCAAGCAGCCTCCCCCTCCCTCTGCTGGGCTTGACTGACCAGGGGCCAGAACGGGCGGTGGGGGCTAGCTGCTGACTCCCGTAGTGCATGGAGGAGAAAGAGATGTTCGAGCTGCAGTGCCTGGTCCTACGGAAGGACTCCAAGATGTACAAGGACCGCATCGAGGCCATCCTGCAGCAGATGGCGGAGGTGGCCATCGAGAGGGACCAGGTAGGCACCTCGCCGCCTCCCACCCCAGGGTGGGGCGCGTTCCCCCCAGCCGCGGCGCCTCGCCCTTTGCCCTTTCAGGGGAGGGCACTTGTCCGAGAGCTCCTTGAAAAATGTGAACAATCATGAAGGTGACCCCTTCTCCCACTGCCAGGAAAACTACTCCACTGGCTGGTTGTACCTTCAGATTCTTTTCAATATACGTATAGTTTCATTTTTGTCTTACAAGAAAGGAAGCTGTCTTGTTTGCAAATAGCTTTTTTATTTTTTTAAAGATGTATTTATTTTAGAGAGAACAAGAGAGAGTGCGTGTGGTGGGGAGGGGCAGAGGGAGAGAGAATCCTAAGCAGACTCCCCGCTGAGTGGGGCTCGATCTCACCACCCCCGAGACCATGACCTGAGCCGAAATCAAGAGTGGGACGCTCACCCGATGGAGCCACCCAGGCACCCCAGCAAACAGCTTTTTTAACTTCAAACACCGTTGGCACTTGGGCTGGCTGGCTGCGCTCCTGGGGCCCGGAGGCAGGAGCCCGTGTGGACTGTATCCCCATCACTGCTTTCCACCACCTTCCCGCCACGTAACGCGGGGTCCTTTCTGGTCAGGTATGGCCGATGCTTCAGTGCCCTTCGGGAGGGGACTGGCAGCCTGTGTTCGGAGCCTCTGGGCCTGCAGTCCCACGTCGGAAAGCCTCCCCGTGCGCGGTAGTGGGAAGCGGGAAGCAGCACCACCAGGCCAGGGGGCCCGGCTGCCACCTTCCCTCGGGGCAGGCAGAGGAGGGGAAGCGCTGTAGCCACGGAAGGCAGGCCACCAGCCAGGGACCTGGGGCCGGGCAGCCCAAGTGAGCGACTGGGATTCTCTCCGGTGGGTCCTAAGTCGGAAGCAGGGACACAAATGAAGGCGATTCTCAGTGATTCATCAAATCCTGGCTGTTTGGGGCCGAGGGCTCCAGGGGATGTGGGTTAGCCTCCAGGCAGCGGGCAGGCTCCCAGCAGGCCGCTCGGTGTGGTCAGAGTTGTGTCCTCAGGTGCGGTCTGGCTGGAGAGCGTGGAGGGGATGGGCGCAATAAAGCACATGACATGGCCATTAACCATGTTCTTGGTACCAAGTTACACGGCAGACTGATAAAAGCCGTGCAAAGGGCGTCAATCCGTGCTGGACGTGCACTGGAATGGAGGACTCGGGGAGGGCGCAGGGACGGCAGGGGCTATTCTGGGATTTGAGCCGGAGGCTCTATCTTCACGTTCCGGGAGTCCTTCGGAACTCTATTGCTCCTGCAAACCCTGAAGCACTGACCGCGGGCTGAGAGGCGGGGGCGGCCTGGGGTCTCCCAGCGGCCACGCAGCTCCCAGACAGAGCCTGCCCTGTGCCGTCCCCACAGGCCATCACCACGCGGGAGGAACTGCATGCACAGCACTCACGGAGCCTGCAGGAGAAGGACGTGCTGCGGAAGCAGGTCCGGGAGCTGGCCGAGAAGGCAGACGAGCTACAGCTTCAGCTCTTCCAGCGTGAGGGCCAGCTGCTGGCCGTGGAGGGCAGGCTCAAGCGGCAGCAGCTGGACACGCTCGTCCTGGTGGGCCTCCCAGGGGCTGGGGGGCCTTTGTGGTGCACGCCGGTCAGAGCTGCAGCCCTGCCACAGTAGAGCGCAGGGCCCTGGCCCTCAGGGGCAAGCGTGTCCCCAGAGACACCAGAGCCCAGAGGAGGGGACACCAGGCAGCCCAGGTCCAGGCCTGGCTCGGCTATTGCTCCACCGTGACCCTGGGCTGGTCCCAGGCCTTCCTGAGCCCCTTCTGTCCTCTGTAAGGGGCCCTCCTCCCGGCAGGCCACTCTGGGTGTCAGGAGGGGGAGGGAGGGGTGTTCTGGGCGGGGGCCAGGGCCAACCGTGGGCTGGAGAGGGGCCTGAGGACAGGGGCTGGCCGGGGACCCCTCACCAAGCCCCACCCCACCCCAGGCCCTGGGGGTGGCTGGGCTTCCCCACAGCCTGCTGACCGACCCCTCTTCTGTGACCACAGAGTTCTGACCTGGAGGACAGCTCACCCAGGAACTCCCAGGAGGTGAGTGTGAGCCTCAGGGTGGGCTCCAGGCCACCGTCCCCTGTGGGAGCTGGGCCAGCTGCTCTCCTCCCAGGCCTCACCTGGGCGGGCCGGCGGCCGGCCGCCATGTGGCCCTTGGGGTGGGCCTTCCTGCCAGGTCTCTGAGGAACAGCACGGCAAGTTAGGTGGGTCCCTGGAGGGTGGCAGTCTAACTGGATGCCCGTCTCTCTCTCTCCCTGGAAGCTCTCACTCCCCCTGGACCTGGAGGCCGTCCAGCTCTCAGACAAAGGTAAGGAGGGGCAGCTTCTCACGGCCGAGTCTGGCCTTGTCACCTTAGTTGGCGCCAGTCCTGACAGGGTAGAGCCCTGTCCCACTGATCCTTCACAACCCTACTTTACAGATGGGACACTGAGGCTTGGAGGGACGAGTAACCCTCCAGGCTCCCCAGTGAGCAAACAAGAGCCAGGAGTGTATGTTGAGAGCGCGTCCCTCCATGGGAGCCCACTCTGGGCCCAGGAGTGCAGAGCTGAGGCGTCCTGCTCTCCCTGAGCTTCCTCTTGGGCAGGGGGCAGGGGAAGTCGGCCAGCAAATGTGGGAGGTGCAAACAGAAGGGGAAGGGGGCGTGTCTCAGGGCCAGGCAGAGGTGGCAGGGAGATGGCCTGAGGGGTGGCAAGGGGTCGAGGGGCTCACTCTGAAGGTGGCTGTCAGAGGGGAGGTGGGGAGGTCCGGGCAGGGAGGTGGCGTGGGAAGCCAGCCAGACCTCCTCAGCCTCGGGCCTGCCACCAGCCTCCAAGGGAGGCAAAAGAGGACCAGCTGGTGCAGAAGTGAGGGAGCAGGCCAGGCCAACGCTGCCCAGGGACCTGAGCTTCAGGACACGGAGCCCAACATGGGGACAGGCGGGCAGGACCCAGCAGGCAGTGAGTGGTAGGGGAGACCCTGGGAGCCCCAACCCAGGGGTGGTGTGGCCCCTTGAAGGAGCTGGGGCGGGCTTCCGGGTCAGAGGCCGAGGAAGGGAAGGTGCCAGCCTCAGGGAGAGACCTGGGTGTGGGTCTCCCCCTGTGAGGTCAGTGAGACGAGATGTCCAGTCTCCCATCCTGGCCAGTTTAGGGGAGCCAGCCCATAAGAGCAGCTTCTGTCTGAGGGTCCTGAGCCTGAGGCAAATTCTGAGGGGACCAGACAGCTTGGAATGTTCTGCTCCAACTGCTGCAGTGCCCCAGCCCCCACCCGGGAGCAGAGTCGATGGCGTGGCACTGCCTGGTGGGCTTCCAGCTGCCTCTGCCTGCCTAGAGGGCGTCGGGAGTGGGCAGTGGCATCTTTGAGCTCCAGTCCTCTTGTCTACACAATGGGAGGCCTCTTGGGGTTGAAGTGAGAGCCCCCAGAGATGACTGAAGAGATGATGCAGGACTGGCCTGGCAGCTTCAGGGGACAGGAGGTGGCCGGGTGTTGGCCATGCTAAGCGTGGTCCCAGCAGCTGGGTAGGACCGACAGGCCTAATTCTCCGTTCTAGGCGGCCCGGCCAACAGGAACAGCCCACAGCAGCCCTTCGTGGCGCTGCAGGAGGAGCAGCTTCCACTGACCTCCAGCGTAAGGCTGCCCTGGGGTCCCTGCTGCCCTAGGGCGCCGCTGGCATGGGCCTCCGTGTGACGGAGCCCGGGAAGGCTGATTGCTCGACCTGGATGCCTGGGGGTGATGGCAAGGGTCTCTGCCCGTGGGCTCTTGGGGTGCACTGTTTGGGACAGGAAGCCGAGTCCCCCCGTCTTGGATGAGGCAGTGGGCAGAGGGAGCGGGCAGGACGCGGGCACTGTGGGCTCGGAGCGCAGGCCAAGCTGCTGGGCGCCCGCTCTGTCCTGTCCTCCGAGAGGCGGGACAGCACACCGCAGTCCCCCACGGGGTGTGCGGTCGCAGGGGCGGGGACACGCCCCGCTCCGGGAGCCTGAGCCGCGCTCCTCCCCCAGGACGCAGGCGCGAGCGGCGGGGAGCCCCCCGAGAAGGAGCGGCGGCGCCTCAAGGAGAGCTTCGAGAACTACCGCAGGTGCGCGGTGGGCGGCCCTGGGCGGGCCCCGGGAGGGCTGGCCGGGGAGGGGGCGCAGCGGCCCTGCGGACATGCGCTCGCCCCTGCAGGAAGCGCGCCCTCAGGAAGATGCAGCACGGCTCGAGGCAGGGCGAGGTGGACTGGGAGAACACCACGGGCAGCGACAACACCGACACGGAGGGCTCCTAGCCAGCCCCGCGCGCCGGGAGGACGCCCGCCCAGCCGGAGGGGCGCAGCCGCCCAGGCGCGCCGGCGGGCACGCACGGGGACTCGCACAGGCGTGCTCTGGCTCTGCGTGCGGCAGTGTCGGAAATGCAGTTCCATAAATAAACGACCGGGGTCCCGGTACCCTAGCCTCCGCTGGCCTCGCTCCCGCGTGCACCTCCCAGCCGCGCGCGCACCTCCCGCCCCCAGGGGGCAGCAGAGCACGGTCTGCCGGGCGGCGGACGGAAGCCGAAAGGGGCGCCTTCGCCGCGTGCCCGCTTCCAAGATGGCGGCGGCACGGCTTCAGCCGCGCGGGGCGGGGCGGGCGGGGCAGCCGAGGTCGGAGGGCGGGATGCTGCGGGCTGCGCTGAGCCGCGTGCCGCCGCTACTGACTCGCGTGCGGCCGCAGGGGCCGGGCCTGAGGTGGTTGTGGGGACGCGGGGGCGGTCCGGGGGCTGCGGGGAGAAGGCAGGCCGGCGCCGGGGTCTGGGGCTGGCGGCGTTTGAGCTCGGAGCCGGGGCCCGGGGCCGCGCACTACCAGCTTGTCTACACTTGCAAGGTGAGCGTGCGACGGGTGCGAAGCTGGGTCCCCATCTGGTGCTGGCCGGCGCGGCGGGAAGAGGCTCCCCATGCGCGAAGGACAGTATGGAGGGGTGGAGCTGCCCCCGGGGGCGGGGCCCTTCCGGGAGAGGGGTGGGGCTGTCCTCGGGGGCGGGGCCCTTCCGGGAGAGGGGTGGAGCTGTCCTCGGGGGGGGGCCCTTCCGGGAGAGGGGTGGAGCTGTCCTCGGGGGCGGGGCCTTTCCGGGAGAGGGGTGGAGCTGCCCCCGGGGGCGGGGCCTTTCCGGGAGAGGGGTGGGGCTGTCCTCGGGTGCGGGGCCTTTCCGGGAGAGGGGTGGAGCTGCCCCCGGGGGCGGTGCCTTTCCGGGAGAGGGGTGGAGCTGTCCTCGGGGGCGGGGCCCTTCCGGGAGAGGGGTGGAGCTGTCCTCGGGGGCGGGGCCCTTCCGGGAGAGGGGTGGAGCTGCCCCCGGGGGCGGGGCCTTTCCGGGAGAGGGGTGGGGCTGTCCTCGGGGGCGGGGCCTTTCCGGGAGAGGGGTGGAGCTGTCCTCGGGGGCGGGGCCCTTCCGGGAGAGGGGTGGAGCTGTCCTCGGGGGGGGGGCCCTTCCGGGAGAGGGGTGGAGCTGTCCTCGGGGGCGGGGCCCTTCCGGGAGAGGGGTGGAGCTGTCCTCGGGGGCGGGGCCCTTCCGGGAGAGGGGTGGAGCTGTCCTCGGGGGCGGGGCCCTTCCGGGAGAGGGGTGGAGCTGTCCTCGGGGGCGGGGCCTTTCCGGGAGAGGGGTGGAGCTGCCCCCGGGGGCGGGGCCTTTCCGGGAGAGGGGTGGGGCTGTCCTCGGGTGCGGGGCCTTTCCGGGAGAGGGGTGGAGCTGCCCCCGGGGGCGGTGCCTTTCCGGGAGAGGGGTGGAGCTGTCCTCGGGGGCGGGGCCCTTCCGGGAGAGGGGTGGAGCTGTCCTCGGGGGCGGGGCCCTTCCGGGAGAGGGGTGGAGCTGTCCTCGGGGGGGGGCCCTTCCGGGAGAGGGGTGGAGCTGTCCTCGGGGGCGGGGCCTTTCCGGGAGAGGGGTGGAGCTGCCCCCGGGGGCGGTGCCTTTCCGGGAGAGGGGTGGAGCTGTCCTCGGGGGCGGGGCCCTTCCGGGAGAGGGGTGGAGCTGTCCTCGGGGGCGGGGCCCTTCCGGGAGAGGGGTGGAGCTGCCCCCGGGGGCGGGGCCTTTCCGGGAGAGGGGTGGGGCTGTCCTCGGGGGCGGGGCCTTTCCGGGAGAGGGGTGGAGCTGTCCTCGGGGGCGGGGCCCTTCCGGGAGAGGGGTGGAGCTGTCCTCGGGGGGGGGGCCCTTCCGGGAGAGGGGTGGAGCTGTCCTCGGGGGCGGGGCCCTTCCGGGAGAGGGGTGGAGCTGTCCTCGGGGGCGGGGCCCTTCCGGGAGAGGGGTGGAGCTGTCCTCGGGGGCGGGGCCCTTCCGGGAGAGGGGTGGAGCTGTCCTCGGGGGCGGGGCCCTTCCGGGAGAGGGGTGGAGCTGTCCTCGGGGGCGGGGCCCTTCCGGGAGAGGGGTGGAGCTGCCCCCGGGGGCGGGGCCTTTCCGGGAGAGGGGTGGGGCTGTCCTCGGGGGCGGGGCCTTTCCGGGAGAGGGGTGGAGCTGTCCTCGGGGGCGGGGCCCTTCCGGGAGAGGGGTGGAGCTGTCCTCGGGGGGGGGCCCTTCCGGGAGAGGGGTGGAGCTGTCCTCGGGGGCGGGGCCTTTCCGGGAGAGGGGTGGAGCTGTCCTCGGGGGCGGGGCCCTTCCGGGAGAGGGGTGGAGCTGTCCTCGGGGGCGGGGCCCTTCCGGGAGAGGGGTGGAGCTGTCCTCGGGGGCGGGGCCCTTCCGGGAGAGGGGTGGAGCTGTCCTCGGGGGCAGGCCCGGCACACAGGGGTAGGTAGGCTGTCTGGGAGGAGGAGGAGGCCCTGCCCCGGGGTGGAGTTAATCATCAGAGGGGCGGGGTCCTCCTGAGGGGCGGGGCCAGGCACAGGCGTCACCTGGGCCGCGGGTGTCCCGCAGGTGTGTGGGAGCCGGTCCTCCAAGCGCATCTCCAAACTGGCCTATCACCGGGGAGTTGTCATCGTGACCTGCCCCGGCTGCCAGAAGCACCACGTCATCGCCGACAACCTGGGCTGGTTCTCAGACCTGGGCGGGAAGAGGTGAGGCCCCGTGGGCAGGGTGGGGGGACAAGCCCCCCTGGGGTTGGGGCCCCAGCCCGCGTCCGCGGGGCTCCCTTCCTGTCGGGAGGCTCGTGGAGCCTGCCTCCCCAGCCTGGGCATACAGGAGGGGCTGTTAGGTTTGAGTTTCGGGGAAACCACAAACGGCCCGGGCAGGGATGGGACCAGCCTCCTGTGGTCCTGCTTCGCTGCCGGACCTCTGCCCTCACTGCCGGCCTGTCCGTGTCCGGGCTCCAGGCCGCCCCTGAAGTGAGGGGCACGCTGGGCTGAGTCCTGCAGCACAGACCCTTCCATCGTGTGGCTGCTTCGTCCCCACAGAGATGTGCGGAGTGTCAGCTCCGGAGCAGGGCCCTAGCGCGTCACTCGCGGTCTCTGCCCGCTCTGGCTGGCCGGTCATCACACCAGACTGGGGGTGTGTGTGAGGCGGAGTGTACCCCTTATGGGCAGGAGCCTCCTGGGCCGTTCTGAGGGGCTCTTCCGCTTGAGATCGGGTTAGTAATAGCAGCTGCCTCTGGGGGCTCTGAAGGGCTCGTGAGGTCAGCGTGCAGCGCCTCGTGGCCACACCAGCGTGGGGCCCCACACTCCGGCTCCAGCCTGGCCCTGGGGTGCCCTTGGGTGCACTTGAAGACCCAAGGTGCCAGATGGGCTCGGGGCTGAGAGTGATGCCTTCTCTCTCAGGAACGTTGAAGAAATCCTGGCGGCCAGAGGGGAGAAGGTGTGCCGAGTGGCTGGTGAGGGGGCCCTAGAGCTGGTTTTAGAGGCTGCCGGGAACCCCAAATCCACCACTGCTCCAGAAGGGGGCGAGGGCCAGGACCCCACTCATCCTGGCAAGACGGAGCCCAGCTGACTCTGTCTCTGCTTTCCAGAAGATGCTTCGGCCCTTCCGGGCTGGCCTGTTTTCTATCAATAAACACATCACTCGGAGATGGTGGGGCGTGGGGCCTTCTTCTTGTCCCTGGTTCCGGAGTCAGAATGATTCCGAGGAGCCTCCGCCAGGTGCTGGTCCTGGTCCTGCGCTGTCGCTCTGCACAGAGGACGGGCCCTGTACTTGCCGCTCGCGGCTGTGTCTGCGTGGGGGGAGGCTGGACAGGGAGCCTGAGCCCCCAACCCCCGGCCATGGCCGGTAGCCCTGGGCGGTCCCTCTGCCCTTCTGAACCTCCGCCTTCCCATCAGATGAAGATGCTAATGGGACACCCTGTCAGGAGGAAGGGCAGGAAGACAAGACGTGGGACAGGTGTGGGGGGGCGCGGACGTGCTCTGCAGGCCGGGGCCCCGGTCTTGCTGGGTCTGGGGCGGGTGCCTGGAAGGCATGGCCGATCAGCCACTGTTCTTCCTTGGGGAGCAGCACCCACCATGGGTCCTGTTCCTCTGGCCAGACACGGGGAGGTCCTACAGATCCCCCTTCCTCCTGTGCCCCCTGCCTTCCCCCGACACCTCCTGGACAGCGCTGGTGAGCCACAGCCGCCCTCGGCCCTGACCCTTGGCTGCTGGCCAAGTGGAGTCAACAAATCAGGCAGCTCCCTGTGGCCACAGCGGGGTCGGGTGGCCGCCGTGGCGAGGAGGGTGGGAATCACGGTGGGCCACATGCCCCACGTGGTGCCCTCCCCCCAGGGGCGTGCGGTTTGTCTCCCAGCCTTGTTTGACGGCCTGCTCAGGATGTTCCTGTGTTTATGGGAGCGCGTGTATTTGCAGAAGTGTGACCTTCACTATTAATCACCAGCCACGGTCTCGCAGCTCCTGGCAGGATCCGAGCTGACTGCTGCCCTGCGTCAGCGCCCCGGGCTCTGCCGTTGTTCTCCGGGGCGCTGGCACTGGGTGCTTTAACTCGATTACCCCCTGTCTTTCCCCTGGCTAACAACCGCCTGTTATTCCCCTTCAGAGCCTCCCGTGTCATCTGTGGAGACTGTCGGCCTGGAGGCTGAGCCAGCCCCTGTGCCTGACTGCTTCACCGTCCCCAGGTCCCCGCCGGACCTGACAGTGCAGACCTGGACAGAGGAGGGCAGCCTGGGCCAATCCCGCCCTTCACAGATGGGGAAACTGAGGCCCGGGTTGTGGACATGGGTAGAGACCATATTTCTATTTCCTGTATTCTGATGCTTGACGTCCAGGCCCTGCTGACCCCGGTGAGGTTGCCCCTCTTGGGTTAGTGCCTAGAGATAGTGAAAGACTCGCCCATGGATGCACTCCATGGACAGGTACCAGCCAATAAGGGGGGCTCCTACTCCCAGAGCCACTGAGATGGTTCACACCATTGCTTCCCAGGGAAACCACAGCTCCTGGAACCACAGAGAGGCAACGTGGCACCCTGTGGTACTTGCCTGCAGAGCCTTCTCAGGGCGCCAGGATTCCCAGAGCACCGAGAACTGTTGGGCCGGGGGCTCTAGTGACAGTCCCCCGGGGCCCCTGGGGGTGCCTCCCTGTGCGGGCGTGTCCTGATTGCGGCCCCTACCTGCAGACCTCCCTTCTGACCAGCTTTTGCCCTCCCCACGCCACCCTCACCTCGGGGGTCTCCCGACCCCCCACTCCCGCCATGCTGTGCCGCCTCCTGCGGTCGGGTGGGGTGCTCCAGGCCGAGCGGGTCACCACAAGTGAGGTGAGTGAGGCACCCCCTGCCTCGCCTGCTTCCTGGGCCCTGCATCTGTCCTCCTGGGGACACAGTGCCACAGAGCAGCTGTGGGGTTGGGTGTCTGCTTGGGGTGTGCTCCCCCTCTTCGCAGACGGCTCCATTGCACCCATCGGCCGGTGGTGCCAGGGCTGTGAGGTCGTGGGCGCTCTACACCTCCCTTGCTCCGGGGCCCCGAGCAGGTCCCGGGCGGGTGGGCCACAGGTCTGCAGCCCGTGAGGACTCAGGCCTGGAAAAGCAAGTGCGCACCTGGACAATGTGTGACTTTGTCCAGTTGGGACAGACAGCCACTCCCAGGGCGGAAAACAACAGAACCAACCTATTGCCAAGTGGCTGGCTGGTGGCTCCAGGCCCTTTGCACGGTGCAGGCTTGCTTACCCAGGTAAGGTCAGTCACCTGGGGCCCCCCCAAAAGACCAACATCCCCTCATCCTTAGCACTAATTCTGACACAGACAGCATTCACTTGGCAGACTTTATTTTTTTGGGAAAAAGAAAAAAATGTACCTCTTGGGTTGGAAAGGACCCACTGACAGCATGGCAAACACGCATGAGCAATAAATATGCATGTACATTCAAGTATGTGGGGCGGCCCAGGAGAAGCCTCTGTTCTGGCCTCTGACCCCACCCCCGGGCTCCCACCCACACCCTTCAGAGCATGGTCGCAGCGGGCCCGGGGCCCCCAGGCTGAACTGCGGGGTGGGGGTCCGGCTGCCTCCCCTTGCTTGGAGAGCCTTGGAGAAAGACCGAGGACCCCAGGGGCACCACCTCAGGAGGAGGTGCCCCTCATGCCCCGGGGGCTGTGGGGTCATGGCGTGGGGCCGGGAGCTCGCCAGAGGGCTGGTGGCGAGCCAAGGCAGTGTCCTGCCCAATCCCGTGGGCTGACGATGTGTGGGGGCTGGACCCTCCCACAGGAGAAGGCAGTGATGTCATCTTCCCAACTGAGGGCTGGGTGCTCACCTGGGGGCCCAGGGTTGAGCCGAGCTGAACCCCCCCAGCTTCTGCCGGCCGCCCCGGCCCTGGTGTGGTCAGGGTGCAGACCTGGCTGCCAGCTGGCGTTCCAGACCAGGCCTGTTCTGTCCCTGGGCTTCGGGGCTTGGAGTTGAGGGGTGCCACGGCTCATCCCCACCCGTCCCCTTGCCTCCCTGCTCAGGACTGGGCGCCAGCTGGGGCTGGGGGCCGAGAGCCAGGGCCCAGCAACCGTGCGTGGGGGCACCTGGCCTGCATCAACTGCCTCATCAGGCTCCAGGCTTTCTGACAGGCTTCCACCTTCTCCAGCCCAGAGGAGGCGGGGGCGGGGGGCGCAAGAGGCCGGGACTGGGGCAAGCGCGTCTGCTCTGTCATCCCTGGGACCCCCTCTGGGAGGACAGAAACGTCCATGTCGCTGGCAGGCCGCACAGCAAAGGCTTCTGAGCGGCCTTTGGGGGCTTAGGGGAGGCAGCAGTTTTCACATTTGCCGGGCAGGATGGAGGGATGGAGCTGGGCGGGGCAGGGAGAGGCCATGGAGGGTCTGGAACCAACAAGCTGCAGGCTGGACCTGGGGCAGGGACGGGGCAGGGAGAAGGCCGGGCTGGGCAGGCCTGCAGAAAGCCGTGTCCCGCCGGGGAGCTGGTCCAGGACAGAGGCATGCCCACCCGCCCAGGGCAGCCCCAGCCTGAGCCTGCCACCCTGGGAGGGGGACAGCGTGGGGGCTGTGTGCCCCGCATCTGCCACAGTGGGAAGGGCCAGAGGGCCTGCAGTCAGCCATGGCCTCCAGAGGAATGGGCTTCTCGCGGGGCCGTGGGCATCACAGAGGACGGCGCGCCCCCCGGCCCCGAGGCCAGGAGTAGGGGTGGGGCCAGCCTGGCTGTGGCTGCAGGATCTTAGCTGGCACCAGACTGGCACGGCTGCCGGGGCTCAGGGCTCCCGCCCACCTCCTGCTCGGGGCTCCCGGCGAGGTCCACCCGCTGCTCATCCATCCGTTTGGCCTGCACCCTCTGGATGAGGCTGAAGAAGTCCTCGTCAGGCATGGTGGGGCCGCGGGGCAGCACGTCAGGAGGTGGGCAGCGCTGGTCATCGATCCTGGAGGACTGGGCGGACACAGACACGTGGGTTGGCAGCTTGGGCCTCCCCCACCTTGGAGGGCCGGCCTAGGACGTGGGCCCAGTGGTCTCAGGGACAACGGCCAGGCAGGGGCTGCTGGCCAGCGAGCGGCTCTCCCTGCATCTACCCGTAAAATCAGCTCCGCGGGCAGTGCTGAGAGCCTCTGCCCAGGCCACCCCGGGAAGAAGGGAGGGCTGAGTAACCGCCAGGCACGGGGTGAGCAGGCCGGGGCACGGGGCTGCTGGCTGGCCTTCCGTACTGCGCCCAACACCACCTGACAGGGATGTGTTCAGGAGTCCCGGGGGCAGGACTGGGGGCCGCAGCTCCCTGAGCCCAAGGTGCGGAGCTCCCTGGGGCCCCCCATCAGGCCATCAGGCCAGGGGGCCAGGGCGGGGCCGAGGGGGCCGAGGGGGCCTTTGGGCTTTTGTGCAGGGTCTGGAGCAGAAGGGCTGGGAGCTGGTGCAGCTGCTGGAGCGTGCGGGCATATGGGCCAGGGGCTCGGGGGTTTTCTGCAGGGGCTGGTTTGGAGGATTTTCGGACTCGCCCGGGGCCACGCTTTCCTCTGCTCTGTAGGAATGAAGGTCACATCTGTAAACTGCACCGTCCCGTGTGAGCCAGGCCATGGTCTTTCCTGCAGCCTTTCATGAAGTCCCTGAAACCCCTCTGCCGTCTTGCCCTGCCTGGGGGCGCAGGGGACCAGACCCCGCCATGGCGGCGCCCCCCAGCTGGAGCTCCTGCCCGATGAGAAGGGCTTTCGGGAGGGGGAGCCCAGGAAGGGGCCTCAGGTCTGAGCACCGAGGGCACCCGGTGACACCAGCAGAGCCAGCCTGAGATGGACGGGCCAGAGCCCGCCGCAGGCGTCAGGAGCCTCCACCAGCCACGAGGGCGAAGGGGCCCCGGGCCACCTCGGGGCAGGGGTGGGGGGCAGTGAGCACCCCCAGCCTCCCCAGCCGCAGGCCCACCTGGCACTTGATGAGCATGTTGAAGAACTCGTCCCCCGGCTCCTGTGGGTCCCCGTCCCCGCGCAGACGGCCCAGGTTGCTGTGGGTGACGCGCAGCCCAGGCAGGCTGCCCACGCTGGCCCGCTGGTCGTCCAGCCGGCGGCCCTGGGAGCTGGCAATGAGGTCCAAGAGCTCCTCGGTCTGCGGGGAGGCCGTCAGCGAGGGCTGGGCTGTGGGGGCAAGGTCGAGGGAGGGGGCCCCCCCGCGGGCCAGGTCAGCCTGAGCCCAGCCCCGCCCTCCACACTCCCCCGGGGCATGGGGGTCCCAGGGGTGTCTCTGCTGGCCCCAGACCCCAGCTGCCCTGGGTTGTCCCTGTCACAGGCCCCACGCCCACCCCCGGGGACTCCTCGGTGATGGGAGGAAGGCCTGGCTTCCCACGCCTGCTCAGAGCCCGCCATGCGCCCTGACATGGTATGTTCCAGAGGGCGGGGATGATGACATGCTTCCCAGGATGTAGCTTTGGGCGAGGCGGGGGACGAGGCGGTGACAAGGGGCACTTTTGAAGCTGGTGTGCCCCGCCCCCCAGGAACAAGGGCTCCCAGGGGCACCGTGGTGGAGGGCAGGGAGGGAGCGTGGCAAGGACAAGAGGAGCTCCACGGGGGACACTCACCGACCCTCTCCTCCGGGGTGGGGGCAGCTGTGGCCTCGGCGGCCCCAGGCTGGCCCTCCTCCAGGGGGCAGCGCTGGTCGTCCATTCGGCTGCTCTGGAACTTGCTCAGCAGGTCAAAGAAGCACTCTTCGTCGGAGGATGGGGCCCGAGGGATGCTCTGGGGGGGTGGGGGTGGGCAGCGGCAGTCAGCATTGGCTCTGGCCCAGCCACAGTGGCCCGGCTCTGGTCACCAGGCCCTCAGACCCCTGGACACCACTGAGGGAGCTGCTCAGCCGCGGATAAGGTCAGGACCCTCGCCCCACCTGCCCATCCTTCTCCCGGCATCAGCCCTGTCCAGGCCTCCCACACCCTGCCACCCAACCCCTCCTTGCCCTCCTGGAGCGCTCCCCGCCCAGCCCGGTCACCACCGCTTCCCAGCAGCGTCCCTGTGCCCCACGCCCCCCAGCCCCTGCCCCGTGGGACTCTGTCACACGCTTGTGTCAGCCCCTGCCACGAGCTCCACCTGTGCCCGCCCCTCTGGGGCCCAGGCACCCAGCACAGCACTCACCGGTGTCTGCCAAATGGACAAATCAACCAGTAGTGAGTGCCTGACTAGACCCTGGGTAGGCAGGAAGCCCTGCTGCCGTTTTACATATTACAGTGGTCTGTGCCAGGGCCCTGGCAGCAGTGGTGGTGGATCCGGGGCCGGCAAAGTCAGGTCATATCACCAAAGGCAAGGAGCCACGGCTGGGGGAGGTGAGGGCTCCTGTGTTCCACCCCAGTCCCACCCCTTCTGGGCTTTGGGTGCTACACCCGTGGGCAGGCCCAGAGGACAGATGTGTGGCGGCCAGGATTCCGGGTGTGGGGTGTTCGGGCTAAAGAGGAGGTGCTAACATCCCCCAGCCTCTCCCTCTGCATGCTGGCTGAGGTGCCCAGGGTCTGCTCTGGGTGGCTGGGGGGCAGAGCCTGGACACACTGGGAGCACAGAGACTCTGGGAGATGCCATCACTGTGCAGCCTGGGTGGTGGGGAGGGCTGACCCAGGGGCCACCCGCTAGGTCTAGGCAAACCCTCCTGATGGGACCAGGGAGGGGACGGTGGTTCTCAGAGGGAGGGGGGAATGGGAAGTGGGAGACCAGGCCACTGGACCTGGCTGAGTCCCAACTGGCAAACACACTCCCCATCTGGGCCTCAGTTTACACATCCATAGGAGGGGAGCCTGGAGGGCAGGGCCAGGGCTGGTCCCCCCACCAGCCTCACCACGTCTGGTCCAGGGCTGAGGCCAGGGCTGGTCCCCCCACCAGCCTCACCACGTCAGGTCCCAGCTGAGGGCTGGCTGGTGGATGGGGCAGCTTCCAGAGGCCACCTTCACCTCCCCTCTGACACCAGTGTCCCCTGCCCAGCCCTGGCCTGTCCGCCTCTCAGCTGGCTGGGTCCCAGATCTCCTGACGACCCCTAACCAGCCCACTGCAGAGGTGGATACTGGGGCAAGGGAGCCTGCACACCTCCAAGGCCACAAGGAAGCAAGGGGCAGGCTGGGGAACCCCCAGACAGGCCCAGCCTGGGCCCCCAGGGTGGCACGGTCCCTGAAGGCCAAGAGTGACCCAGGGAGGGGCAGCTGAGTGGGTGGTCCCGACACAGCCCATGTGTGAGCTGGGCTAGCAGCTGGCAGTTCGGAGGACCCCACCCCTGTCCCCCAGGGCAGGCCCAGAGCCAAGGCTGGGGTAGTTCAAGATCCCCCCAACTCAGGGCTCTGCTGTCCTGCAAAGCCCGGAGCGAACTGAAAGCTGGTGCTGAGTGCAGAGGGGCCCTGGTGGGGGTGGGGGGGTGGGGCTGCACTTGGTGGGGTGGTCAGGGCCGAGCATCAGCCCTGCTCTGGTGGGGGCTGCGCAGGTGCCTCCCCAGAAGGTCAAGGGCTGTTCACTGGTCACTTGGGGCCCCAGGCTCAGCCAGGGGTGGGGGTAAGCACAACACCACCCACTGCAGGGGACCCCAGGTGGACTGTGGGCCAGGTGAATGGAGCCAGGCCCCTCCTGGAAAAGGTGTAGCCCTGGGGCTCCTCTTCTCTAGACACATGGGCACCCAGCACTCCTCCAACCTCCCCTGCGCTGCGCTCGGGGCTCAAGGAGCTGAAGTAGGTGCTGTTTGCCCAGAAGCTTCTCCTGGCCTCGTCACCCCTGTAGCTGGGGTGGGGGCAGAGAGGGCCCAAGAGCAGAGCTGTCTGGGCCACCGGTGAAGGCCTGGGGCTTCCCTCGTTTTGGGGGGGATGTGGGGCTGAGGCCACAGGTGTGCAGGGTGAGGCCCTGCTCCCCTCGTGTAGGATGCCACCCTGGGTCCCAGCCTCTCCTTTGCCCCCTGACTCTGGCTCCTTCTGGCCCGCAGGACTTCCAGCCCTGGGTCTCGCCAACTCCTCGCACCCCTGCCTGCCTGGGGGAGACAGCCGGGCTGGTGCAGAGGTGCTGGGGCGCACCCGACAGCCCCACTCCGCCCCATGCCCCGCCCCCGTCCAGCTTCACACGGCCGAGCGCTCCCCGAGCCTCCCCGAGCCCGGGGCCCCACACTCACGCTGGATCCAGCAGCAGGGGCTGGGCGCTGCGCGCTACTCAGTATCCCCAGCCCGGCCGTGTGGCTTCTGTGCTGTCCCTGTCGGCTCAGGGCTTAAATAGGCCCGGGGGGGGGGGCCCATCCCCGCCCCGGCCCCCCACAGCGCTCCCTCGCTCCGGCGGGCGCACGCACACGCTCTGTAAACACTCGGAGACTATTTCCAGCGCGAGGGCTCCTGCTCCGGCCCGCGGGCGGTCGGGCCAGAGGGCCGAGGGCGATGGAACCTGTCTGGGGAGCACTGTTCCTGCTGACAGGGGCCCGGCTTCCTTCCAAAGCGGGGTCAGCCCAGGAGAAGCGGCCTCTTTCTTCAGCCCTGACTCCCGAGGCTGGGGCCACCGCAGCCCCCCGAGGAGCCGGAAGGATGCTGGCCTCTCCCACGGGCACGGGCCATGCGGCCACCACCACCCACAGCGCCCTCCCTGCCCCTGCCACTCGCCACGGGGTCCCTCCCTGCACTGGGCGGTCTGTGGAGCCTTGGCCTCTGGCCGGCCCCCAGGACAACCCTCCTCAGGCTGGCGGGGGGCCCAGTGGGGCCGACACTGGGGCGTCGGGGGAACTGGCTGGGAGCCTCGGCAGGAGGCGAGGACGGGACGGGGATGCGGAGCCCCCAGGGCCCTCTCGGTCCCGCTCCTACAGGGAGCTCAAAGCCCTGGGAGGAGGGCCGGCCCGCAGTTCTGACAGCGGGGAGCTGGGCCAGTGTCTTCAGGGCGGGGGGACCAGCCTGCCACTGGGGTTCAGGCCTCCAGCTGTGGCCAGCCTTGGCACTCTGCCGTAGGAATTTCCTCCAAAGGCGCCCCCATGGCCCGGAGCCCTGCTACATCTCCGAGGGGCAGAGCTGGGGCTCCAGGAGCTGACCCTGGCCTTGGAACCCCAGCTCCACCATTCCTAGATGGGTGCCCTCAGGCCACCTTCTTCACTGCCCTGTGCCTCAGTTTCCCCTCTTGGGGCTGCTGTAAAAGCATGACGCGTGGCAAGCCTGAGCGCTGGCTACTATTCGCGTTTGGCAGAAGGCACCCCCCACCCCGCCGCGGCGGCTAGGGCCAGGTCACCACGTGGAAAAGGCCTTCCTGTTCCAAAGCCTGCTGTGGCTCCCTGGCGTTTGGGACCCTCCCCTACCAGGTGCTTTCTGGGTGGACCCCGACCTTTGGGGCGGGTCCAGCCCTGCTCCCCATGTCCTGCCCCAGGAGGAGCTCCCGGGGCTCTCGACCTCACCCAGCCACACCTCAGACCCCAAAGCCCCGTGTGATGGTGGCAAGGCCCCTGCACTGAAGGCTGGGGGCCCCAAACACACTGTGTGGGCAGTAGCCCCACTCTCCTGCGGCCTCTCGTCATCTCACTCCACGGGCACCGACCCTGGCACCCGACTGGCAGGCTGGAGGGCCGTGCCGGGGCCAGACGGGGTTGGCAGAGGCCCTCCCAGGCTCGTGGGAAAGATGGGTGCACAGCGACATCTGGGGCTAAGAATACCCAGCACGGCGCCCACGCCCCTCAAAGGCTGGGAAGGTGCTCATTAAGCCCTCAGAGGAAACTGTTTTTAGACTAATTCCCAGAGATTTGGACGCAGGTGTTCTGCATGAGGGGGAAGGGGGATTCTAGGCTGACCTCTGAACCTGGGCTCGGCCGGGCCTCCCAAAGCCTGGCCGGCTTCCACAGGGGGACACCTGCCAGGTGGCACTGACCCCTGGCCGAGTGTCCCCCTGTGGAAGGAGGCCCCCGGCGCTCTGCCCCACCGGTCTGAATCCGACCCCCAGCCCATCCGTCCCTCCCCCAGCTCCCCGGCCGTCCATCCACCTCTGAATGCTGTGTACCCGGACAGGGCTGCGGCCGGGCCCGAGGGCCTGCGCCCCCCAAGGCTGTGCTACAGACCCCCATCGGCGAGGCCGATCGGTCCAGTTTCTCTGTGGCCTGGGCCTTGCCGAGGCCGGATGCAACTTGTGGCAGGCTGTCTCTGCACCGAATGCCCTGCGCTCCGGCCCGGGGGGTGGGGGGCCCGGCCCGGCCCAGGGCTGCTGCACAGGATGGCACCCGAGAAGTCGCCTACCGTGCGAGGCACCTGCACCCGGACGTCCGCGCTGTCCAGCGGGGAGTGGCTGCCCTCTCGGGGCCTCTCGGCAGCCTCCAGCCCCTCCTGGTACTTCCTGCTCCTCATGGGGAGAGGGAGCACGTCCCTGCCCGGCCCCCGCCACTCCCCCACCTGGTGGCTGTCTCCATTCTGCTCCTGGGGAGGGGAGGAAGGCCAGGCATGGGCGCGGCTGTCAGCTCCCCGGCGCAGGACCCTAAGGGGGGCTGGCGGATGCAGGGCCCTGTCGACAGACACACACCTCGGCACTCGGGTCGGGGCAGGAGGAGGTGAGGGCCTGGGGGAGGAGAGGCAGGGCAGGGTGCTGGAGGGGCTGGCCCCACGCTGAGCAACAAGTGACCACGGCAGCCCCAAGCCTTGTTCCCCAACAGAACCCCCGACCGAACCCAGCCCCACTGGAGGACCCAGAGGCTCAGAGAGGTTAGCTCACTCCCGCAGGGCTATACAGCTCCCACCTCTGGCAGGTGGAGAGTGGGCCCAGAGCCCTACCCTGCCCAGCTTCCAGTCGGCTGGGGGTTTGCCGAGGCCTAGCTGCTCCCCCCGGGGCAGAGTCTGAGTGGGCAGGGAGCAGACAGGACATTGGGGACTATGGCTGGGTGGGGCTTGGGGTGTCTGCACTGTGTAAGGACACAGCTGGTGGGACCCTGGGATGAAGTGGGAGGGGACAGGGCCTTGTGGGGGCCTCTCTGGGGGCTGATGGCTGGTCCAGCATCTCAGGCTGCAGAGGGCACGTTGGTCTCCCATGGCGGGGATGGGTACAGATAAGAGCCGGGGTGGGTGGGGGCAGCTCGGCCAGCGCTGCCCCAGCCTCAGGAACCCGCTGCCGCACTCCACTTCTAATGGCAGGTGGCTGCCCCTCCGGCCCCAGGGGCCCCAGCTGCCCACCCTGAGCCCCACTCACCCGCTCCAGGGGGAGCCTCAGCAGGCCCCAGGTCTCTGCACTCAGCCTCTGTGTCCTCTTGGGCCTGGCACCTGGAAGACAGCAGGCCCGGTCAGCCTGGCACTGACCCCTGGCCGAGTGGTGGGCTGGCCCAGGCCAGGGCTCTCTGGGAAGAGTCGGGCTGTCAGCCTGCACTCCGGGGGCTGTCAGGGGAACTTCCCATCTCACGGTCCCCGAGGGAGGCAGACGCAGCGTCTACATGGCCTTGCACCCCCCGACTGGACAAGCAGTCAGGCGTGGAGATGGGGCAGACCCTCTAGGGCCTGGGCGGGGTCTGGCCTTGGTACTCCCCACAGGCCCAGTGTCTGAGCTCCTGCCCGTGCCTGGGGCCTCCCCACCGGCCTCCGTGCAGTCCTCTCCTGGAATGCCCTTCCTACCTCCGTGCAGATGGGGCCTCAGACCCTGATCCACGGCACTCTGTTCACCCCTCAACCAACACGCACGTGGACAGCCCAGTCCCCCCACTGCCGAGCGCCCCTCCAGCTGCACACCCACTGGGTGCCCCAGGGGCCCTTGCGCAAGGGTGGGGCTGTGCGAGGTAAGGAAGCGCGGCAGGTAGAGCGAGCGAGGCCTCTGGTGTGCGCGGATGCTCCGGGGGTCCTGTCCTGGCAGCCCCGGACCCTGGACCCACTACCCTCCCTCAAGCTCAGTGACTGGTCAGACCGGGCCGCGGGCCTGTCGCCGGCAATGCAGAGGGAACGCGTGGGAAGCATCTTACAGGGCCTGGCGTGTTGTGGACGCCCGCAGCCTGCATGGCAAGGAACGCTGGCCCCCCGTGGTCACCCCAGCATGGCGCTGAGCTCCACGCGTGACACCCACAGCGGAGAGCGGCAGCGAGCCCTCAGCACGGCACCCCGACCCCAGCCTGGGCCCACACCTGCTGCCCAGGACACGGTCCCCAGAGGGAGAGGGGCCGGTTCCGGGCGTCATTCAGACCAGCGCAAACCAAACGCCTAGGGCTTCCTACGAGCGGGGCAGGTGTCCAGCCCTTCTCCCTGTCCTGGCCTCCGGGTTCTGAGGAAGCCACACCCTGTTCCCCACTCTCTAGAGGCCTTGGGTGGAAAAGCGGTGATCGGAGGAGGAGGGCATCGGTGGCGGCTGTCCCGGGAGTCCAGGGAGGGGACAGCTGCAGCAGCCTGACCAGGAGACGGCGGCCAGTGGCTCCTTGGGCCCAGGATCTGGGGCTGTCCGCCGCCCCTCCCCCATCCTTTCGGCTGCTGTGGTCAGTGCCAGGCCTGCCCCTGCCCCCCGCACACAGCCCCTGGCCAGCAGGCATTGCCCAGGTGCCAAGCCAGGGAGTACCGTCTCTGGGCACGCAGCCTGGCCTCGTGTTATGCGGCCGAAGGAGCTGGAGCAGGCCCAGAGAGGGGGTCCCCTCTGCTTGTTTCCTCATAAGGGCACCCACCCGAACACCATCTATCCACCCCGGACTGGACAGGGTGGACCGCCCACCCCGGCAGACGGGCAGCTCTGAAGGGACAGTAGGATCCGTCCCACACCGACTGGTGCCTGGGGGTGGCGCCCGGCTGTGGCTGTAACGGAGGAGCACCTCGGTTCCGGGACAGCCGAGTGGCCCTGTCAGGATGGGCAGGCCACTGTGCGTGGCCCCTTACTCACCACAGCCAGCAACAAGCCGGTTCCATCTCCCGCCACGGGCCGGCTGACGGCCCCTTCCTTGGCTGCTCCCTGATAGCCGGGGGCCTGATTCGATGTCCCCAGCTTGTCTGCTGGGCCCCGCCTGGCTGGACAGTCAGGCCCCGGCCGCGGTGGAGGCTGAAATGCCCCTCTGAGACCCAGTGTGTGTCCGGCTCCAGGGTGGGTCCCCTCATGGCCCTCTGAGTCTGGCTAAAGGCACCCTCTGTCTGGAGCGTGGGCTGCCCTCACTGGGGCATTCAGCCCACAGCAACGCTGGCACACTGCCCGTCCTTCCCACCCCAGAGGGCAAGGTCTGGAAACTTCCCTGAGCACCACCCCACTCCTGCCTGAGTCTGACCAGCACCCTCGTCATCATTTCTGCCCTACAGGCTCGCGATGTGCCCCTCCCATGTGCAGCTTGTCCCACTTAGGCGGGCAACCCCGCTTTCTAACTGCTTGGCTGTGTCCCCCAGCTCCTTCCTGCCTTCAATCTCTTCCCAAATCCCAGCAGCTCCACCTTCAAAACAGACCCAGAATCTGACCCCTCCTCATCTTGCTGCTCTCTTTGCCCCCTGTCCATGCTGGGGCGGGCCAGAAAGATGCCCGCAGGGCCTGAGTTAGATCTTCTTCTGTTCACCCTGCAGGGGCCCCTTGGCATGGGGAGGGGCTTACACAGGACAGGAGCCCCCCCCCCATTGCTCCTCCCAGCCAGGCTTACCCAGGCCCCAGGACCTTTGCACTGCTGTCCTCCATTTAAGTTCAGGCTCACTCCCCCCTCCCCTTCCAAGTCTTTGCTCAGATGTCACTGCTATGGACCAAATGTTTGTGTCCCCCACATTCCACGTTGAAGACTCAAACCGCAACGTGATGACATTAGGAAGCAGGGCCTTGAGAGGTGATCAGGGTTGAGCCGAGGTCATGAGGGTGACCCCAGTGTTGGGATGGGTGCCCCTATAAGAAAACACCACAGAGCTTCCTCCAACCCCAGACCCCACCCCGCTGGCTCCCTGCTCTCACACCTCCAGCCTCCAGAAGCATCGGAAGTAAATATCCATATTTTTAAGCCGCCTGTTCTGCGGTGTTCCGTTCCGCAGCCCGAGCTGACGGAGACGGCGGCCCCACACGGCCCACGCACACTCACACCCAGCCTCACGGCTGTTCCTTCTTCCCAAACACCTGTAGCGTGTTATCTGTTCACTACTGTTTGCCACACACTCGTCGCCTCTGGCCGCCTTGGCCGGTCTCACCCCCTGATGATGAGCAGGCAGTTTCCTGTTTATTATGCGGGGCCCTGTCTGTGGCTCCCCAGGCACCGTCATGCCCGCTGCCCTCCCAAGACTCTGGATACCGGGGCTCAAGAAAAGAGACCGCCAGCCACAGTCACGGGGCCTGGAGGGGCAGAGCCCGGGTCAGGACATGAGAGGTCAGGCCCACTTGGCAAGCTCCGGAAGGTCGAGCCAGGAGCAGCCAGAGAAGGGACAGACATGAGGACAGCTAGGACCCCCGGCGGCCTGTCTTCAGCTGTGTGTCACAGGGGCCTGGCCTGCAAGCGGGCTGCAGGCCGCGTGCTGAGTGCGCAGAGGGACAGGGAGGCGTCCACATCTTCAGCCCTCCCCAGGGAGTGCCCTCATCCCTGCCAGGCACTATCCTCAGGACAACCAGTGGGCCCAGTTCCCAGGACAGGACCATGGGGCACAGCTGGGTCAAATCACTGGGTCAGCTAGCCAGGATTAGGCAAAGCCAGAGCCAGAGCCTGCAGCCGAAATTGTGGCTCAGACATTCACTCTGTACATCCCAACTCGCTTTGGTGGCCAAACGCAGTGTCCATGGACGGCCCATACCCTGTGGGACAGAAGATAGCCAGGCCCAGCTCCCCAGGGCTCAGGGCTGGCTCCATCCTCTTATGAACTGATCATGCTTCCGCGTCCCGGGTGGGTGCAGTGGGATCTCCATCTGACAAACCCATCCACCCTGGGCCCCTCACCAGAGAGGGCAGGGGCATGGCACAGCAGGAGACCTCAGGGGACTGACCCAGACCCAGGCAGCAGCGGCAGGAGGGGCCCACGTCCACCCAGACTCGCTCTGGGGTCTCTGTTGGGATGGGGCCTGCAAGGCTGGTGAGGTTAACCCACAAACTGAGCCACAGCCAGCGCCAGGCTCTGGGTCCTCCAGCTGCATAAAGGGCTCTTGTTTTCATCAGGACAGGGAAGAAAAGCCGCTGGGTCCTGGCCTCTGGCTAGCCAGCTACGCCCCGCCCACCGCGGCCCCGCCCCGGTGCTCCCCTGGCCCCCTTCAGCGCCCCCCACAAACTGACAGGCTGTACACACACAAGTGCCCCATCCCTACCCCGAAGGGTCAGTTCTGGAAACTGGGCCAGGCCACCACCCACGCTCCGTGTGCATGCACGGAACCTGCCCTTGCAGGAGCCCTGTGGTGCCCCCGCCACAAGGCCCTGCCCCTGCCAGGCTCACCTGAGCGGGGGTCTCCTCCAGGGCTGCCCAGACTCAGGGAGCCCCAGGGCCTGAAGGCCCCCAGAGCGGCCCAGGGCCCGCACACCTGCCTCCATGGCCTGAGCGGGCCACTCTGGAGAACGGCCCGTGTGGCGGCGGCAGCCTGGCGGGGAGGGGACTCCCGGGGGCCCTGGCTGGGAAAGGTCTGGGCACTGGGCAGGGCAGCAGAGCCGGCCTGGGGAGGACAGAAGCTGCCTTGTTCCCAGCACAGCCCAGCCGTTCACCCGTGATGTGCCCTGCCTTTCCCCAGCTCAGAAAAGGGAAAATGGCAGGAGAACCTGGGGCTGGCTGCGCCCCCGTGGGAGCCTTTCCAGGAGCCCGGCCCAGCCTTGCCCCCACTTGCTGCTGGCTTCCTCAGAGGGGGCCTCGCAGGGCCAGGGGCTCCAAGCAGAGCTGCCCACCCTCAGAAAGACACCACCCAAAGGGTCGGCACCGTCCGATACATCCTGGGGCAGGGTGGGGGGGCGAAGGGGGAGCCCTCCTCCACCCCCCCACCCCTTCAGCCACAGCACCCCAAAATAGGGTGACTGGGGGTCCCAGAGGGCTTTGCACCTTCACTCCTGTCCTCACCCCGAGTGGGAGTGACACATGCCCCCCATTTCCCGGGATAGGCCAGGCTTAGAAACCCCCAGCATTAGGGAAACCCTGCAGCCCCTCCACCACAACCTGGAGCCTCTTCCCCGGCCTCCTCCTCAGCAGGCCTGAAGCTCTGGAGGCTGGGGCAGGGCAGGCACCCCCGGGAACACAGCCACGAGGGGACTGGGGTGACTCCCCCCAAACTCAAGAACCACAGGTTGGGGTCCGTGCAGGCGGGGAGGGGGCAGCTAGCTCCCTGCTCGGAGCCTGCACCACACCCACCTACAGTCACTTGGGAAGCCAGCTCAGGGCGGCCCCCCTCCCAGGACCCCATACTTATCCATTTGCTTTGCAAGGAACATCCTGTTCCCACGTGCCCCTGTGTGCCTAACAATGTTGACCTGTATGGGGCGACCGGCAGCCCGCGAATGAGGTCATTAGAGCTGCCTTGGCTCATCCCGGGCCTCACCTGCTTAGCACCCCGAGCACGGCTCTCCGCCTCTTGGCTGATGCGGCCTCCCCCTCCGGTCCCCCGGCCCAGCCCTCAGCCCGGAGCATGTGGAGCACCGAGACGGGAGCAGTGAGCGCCCTGTCCTCGTCCTCCTTGTTGGCCATGGTGTCACCAGGTGATAAACCAGCGGGGCTCAGGGTGACGACAGGCCCTCACTGCCCCAGAGACCAGGAAGCACAGGCCTGAAGAGCTCACGTTCAGGCCACGCCTTTGTCCACACCGTCTCTGCCCCTGAACGCTTTTCTCCCCATGCTTTCCAATCTCCTGACTCCTGACTTGACCCCGGGGAAACAGGGCCCCTCCGTCGGTGCCCTGAGCACCCTGGACACCCGGTCACCTTGCACCCCCACTGGGCGCTCTGGAGCAGGGCCAAGCAGCGGTGCCGAGGCAAACACCCCCAGGGACGGACCACCCTTACTGGGCAGCTCTGTCCGACATTCTCCTGCTTGGGGGCAGAGTCCACCTCCCGGCGAACTGCACCCAGAAGCCCAAGCACGAGCCTGCACCCCATGCACCCCAGGTGGCCCTCCTGCCACACCCAGCCCGAGAGCCTACCTTGGGCCTCGTAACCAGCCAGGTCCGGCTTCTCTGTGGCCGCGGGGCTGGTCAGCCGGCCCAGCACCAGCTGCAGCTGCGCCACGTTCATGCGGGCCGTGAGCTCCCCATTGCGGTCCCCGATCTACAGCCAAGCAGGGCCAGGTTAGTGGGCAGGTGGGCTGGGAGGCTCCGGCAGACTGGCCCTGAGCCCTGGGCCTCCAAGGGAACCGGGCCTCACTATGCCTCAGGGATGGAGTCTGGGTGTTTGTCCCTGGGTAAGGTGGCCACATGGGCCCCAGGTAGCCCCCCTCACACCCCAGGAATGCCTGGGGCCTCAGGCAGCCAGCCCTGTGCCACTCCCAAAAGCAGGTGGCCTGCCCCAGACTCCACCTTTCTCAGTCCCTGGAGCCTCCCATGCACCCCTCCGGCCCCGTCCAGGCCCCCAGCTCCGAGCAGCAGCTCAACAGGAGGACCCTGCTGCAGAGGAGTGAGGGCACTGCCCAAGAACAAGCCGAATAGTGGGAGGCCACGGCCCAACCTCGAGTGGAGCCCTGGGGCCACTGGCGTGCCCCCGCCTCTGCTCAGGGGGCCGTGGGGACTCTCCTGACACAAGCTTCCCTGTTGCCCCACCACCTGGGCTCCTATGGGTCTTGCCCACAACAGGCATGGGGCTATGGTGGGTCTGGGAGGGTACTGGGCGTGTGCTGGGGGGACGTGACATCAGTGGGGCCAAGGAGGATGGGACTGAGGTAAGAAGGGGGCAGGCTAGGAACTGGGAAGCTGGAGGCCACCCGAGACAATCTGACCATAGTAGGAGGAACCTGGGTGGACCAGCCCTCGAAGACCCTATCATCCCCAGGAAGGTGTCCAGCTGGGGGCTCCCAGGGGGAGAGCCCAGGGGCAGCCAGGCCTTTGTGCTCCTGGGCTGCCTGTGGCAGGTCATTTCCACCTTGGCCTGGCCCGGTTGCATCAGGGACACAGGACCTGATCGTGGGCCCGCACACAGGGAACGCTGACGCTTTACGGGTGGAAAGCAGGCCCCTGCTCCCCGCCCCTCACCCCCGGCTATAGCCGATAAGCCGCCACCGGGCCTCTGAAGGCACATCCAGAGCACAACAGCCTAGAAGGGATGGAGGAGCATCCAGGGAGGAGCCAGAGGGCACAGAGGCACCTGGCCTGGTCTCAGCTGGGCTGGGCAGTGCTTGGGGACTGGCCGCAGGGCAGGCCGGGCTCACCTCCTGGGAGATCTCCAGGTGTTTCTTGGCGAAAGTCAGGGCCTGTGCCGGGCTCCCCATGGACACGTAGGCGTTCCCCAAACTCCAGCACGCCCGGCCCTCGCCCACTCTGCCATGGCGGGAAACTGAGTTCACATGTGCAGCCCGCGGCCCACCAGCCTGCCCACCAGCCTCCAGGTGGTCGGGCCCATCCTGACAGGAGCGCGGTGGGCGGGCCTGGAGTTCCTGGTGGGGCCTCACTCGGCCCCTACCAGCCGTGAGGCTCCCCCCTCCCCTGCCCCCGTGGCTCCCTCCACCCTTGGGGTCAGGTCATAATGATCCTCAGGTCATTAATCTTCTAATTAAGGTGAAAAAATCACAAAATGTAAATGTAAATGTAACCACTCAAGTGCAGGCCCAGGGGCTCGGCGCACTCAATGATCCACGGCCGTCACCATCTGGTTCCAAAGCATCGTCACCCACGAGAGCAAAAGGGCTGGCCACTTCGAGCCTCCCGACAGGGCGGCCCGCGGGCAGCCCTCTCCGCCCCGCACCCTGCGAGGGGCGCACGGCCCGCGGCTCTGAGGCCCCTGCCCCGGCCGCTGCCCACCCCACACCTGTCTGTGTGGCCATGTGTTGGGGAGACACAGGGCTGCTCAAGGGGCCACGGACCGGGTGACGTGGGCCCGACCCCCAGCCAGCCCACCCCAGGGTCGCCACAAGCGGCCGGCCCAGCGCCCACCCGGTCTCTTCTGGTCCCACTCAGTGGACGGTGTGGCCCCGGAGCGGAGGGAGGCTGAGGCCAGGCGGGCCGCCCTGCACAGAGGCGCTTGGCGGTCAGCGGCAGGGAGGTCAGCGGCAGGGCAGCGGTCCTTGCTCAGGCCACAAGGACCGTCTGGAGCCCCCGGGGCCAGGCCTAACCCCCCGTGCCCCCGCGTCCCCGCCGCGCGCACCTGTCGGCCAGCTCCTGGGCAATGAGCAGGTGGCGCAGGTGGTACTCGGCCGCGCGCTCGTAATCCTGCAGCAGCGTGTACGTGTTCCCCAGGCTGTAGCAGGCCTGCGCCTCCACCGCCTGGTCCTTGAGCTGCCGGGACAGCTGCAGCGTCTTCCTGCGGAGAGGGCAGAGGGTCAGCCCCAAGGAGGAGGGTTTCCAGCACCCCCTTTTCTGGGGGCCCGCATCTGAGGGGTGGACAGTGGGCGATGGGGATGCAGTCCACCTGCTCAGTGACCTCAGCCCCAGGGTCCCACGGGCATCTCCACAGAGGACCGGGGGACAGCACACCCCAGCTCGGGGTCCTGACTCAGGATGTCAGGGCTCAGCACAGGACCCGGGGCTGGTGACCCAGTCTCTGCGACTCAGGCCAGGACGCAGACGGCTCACAGAGCATCCCAGCACAAGCCAGGGACGCCCAGGAGCCCACGTGGTCTTTACCCTCTGAGTCCGTATAAGAGCAATTATACCGACACCCCAGAGCCATCGTGGAGAGCAAAGACAGCCCTGGGGTTCCCCCAACAGCTGGCCCTGGGAGGCCCTCGGCCAAGGCCAGCTGTGTCCCCGGCACACGGCGGCTTCTGCCGGCACTTACCGAGTGAAGGGCATGGTAGTTCTTGTCCCTGGCAGCCCCAGGACATGGGCTTTGTCAGTCTGCCCTTCTGGGGTGGCCCAGAACACCCCCCACCTGGCCCCTGGGGAGGCTGGGAGGTCAGGCTCACCTCCGACCTTAGGCTGGCGCCCAGGTGGCCCCCCTCCCCCGGGCTGGGCTGGGCGGGTGGGGGCGGGCGGGCAGGCCTGCCTACTTGTAGTACTCGGCGGCCACGTCAAAGCGCCCCAGGAAGATGTGGGCGTTCCCCAGGTTGCTGTAGGCCCTCCTCTCGGCCGCCTTGTCTCCAAATTCCTTAGCAATGGCCAGGCGCTGAGGACACAGACCGGAGGCCTGGGTGGTCACAGAGCAGCCCCGGGAACCTAGGCGGATGGCAGACACAGCCTCCCCACCCAGGGCGGCCAGCCCAATGTCTGCGTGTGCAGAGAGGGCAGCCCGGGACCCCGCACCAAGCGCAGACCAAGCAAGGCGGCTGGGGAGCCCCGCGGCGCACTCACCTCCTTGTGGAAGGCCGTGGCCTCCATGAAGCTCCCCAGCAGGTAGTGGGTGTTGCCTAGGTTGCCATAGGCCCTGCCCTGGGCCGCCCGGTCGCCCAGCTCCTTCACCAGGGACAGATTCCTCCTGGGGGTCGCATCTGTCTGAGCCGTGTCCCTCTCAGTGCACGGGAAGCAGGGGCCCCGTGACCCACCACCCACCCACCCAGGCTAGGGGGTGATGAGCCGGCGGCCTCCACTCGGCTCCTCCCAGAGGCGCGCCCCAGTGGGTGCCGTGTGCGCTCCGAGGCTCAGTCAGGGGCTCGCCTGCCCCAGGAGGCTCCCTCAAACAGACGCTCGGCCTGATGTCCCCGGCCTTCTTGCAGCCCAATGCTTTCTAGCACCACGCCAGCTTCTCCACGCTGCTGTGGATGACGGATGTGTGGGGGACGCCGGGGGCTTGGTGGACCCCACCAGACGCTGAGGGCAGGTGCAGGTCGGGGGTGGGGAAGGAGAGCTGACCCGCTGTCGCCATATGGGGGGTCCGCGGAGAGCTGATGGGCCCAGATGTGGGCGCTCTGTGCCTGGGGCGGCTGCCCCACCCTGCGGCCGGCAGCAGGGGCTCAGGAAGCGCTACGGAAAGCGTGGACACACCGTGGCCTGCTGGCTCTCTGGCACCCCTGCCCGCCCACTCACTCATAGAACTCGGAGGCTCTGCGCAGTGGCTCCCGGACGTCGGGCGGCAGGTGCCCAGGGTCCTGCGTGGCGGTCCACGACAGCTGCTTGCCCTTGGCGTGGTACACGTTGCCGATGTTGTACAGCGCCCTCGCCTCCCCGACCTGGGGGTGGCACCGAGGTTGGGGGACCCTCTGCAGACCTGGCCCCCGAGGAGCTCACTGGCCCTGGTCCCTGCGGCCCCCGAGGCAAGGACCCAGAGAGGGGAGCTCGCAGGTGATGGCCTCTCTCCGAGGACACCCCGAGTGACTGACTCAGCAGGGGAGGTGCGACCACGCCTGGCGCGGGCACCCTCTCGTCTCTGCCACCCGGGCGGGGAGGAAGGGGCTCCGAGCCGGGCCTGGCCCCCCTGAGCTGTGACTTGGGGCGAGTCATCCCGTCACGGGGGGAGGTCACAGAGCAGGACAGTCAAGTGTCCGCACAGGCCTGGGCCCACAGCTGCTCCATCCCCAGCTGCCACGCCAGCCGGTGTCCCTCTGGAGCCCAGCGCGGGGCGGTCGGTAAGAGGAAGGGCTGACACGGAAGATGGGGGGCTAGGGACTCTACCTTGGGCAGCCAGGCCGGGCCATCCTCCCATCTTCCTCCCACGGGGGAAGGAAGCACCCGCCCCCCAGGGAGCCGCTGACCGACCTTGTCCCCCTGCTCCTGGGCGATGTCCAGGTGCCGCTGGCAGCAGACGACAGCCTCGTCAAAGCGGCCCAGGACCTTGAGTGTGTTGCCCAGGTTCCCGCTGGCCTTGGCCTCCCCCATGCGGTCACCGATGGTCCTGGAGGGCAGGGAGCAGTGAGCGGGACATTGCGCCCAGCAGGGAGCCCAGGCAAGGGTGGGGTTGGCCTGGCAGGACCAGCCCTGGGCTGACTGGGGCAATGCTGGGCAGGGGTCCTGTGGCTGGTGGGCAGGGCCCTCTCAGGCAGCCCCCCGGCAGGGAGCCCAGCTGGTATCACTTCTCTGCGGGGCCCAGCCTGCAGCTCTCTGGGTTTGGGCAGGTGCCCGGATGGAGACAGGGAGAGCCGGGGAGAAGTGGGGACCCGGCTGTGTGAATAAGTTTCAACAAGCTGTCCAGGTGCTGAGGACACCATCTGGGGCTCGCCGGCCGGGGAAGGGCCTGTGGGCACGGCTGGCGGGAGCCCCAAGAAGCTCCACTCTCTCTCAGGCAGGCCCACGCGCGCGGACACACTCGGGATAGCGGGCCACAGCCACGCCCACACACAGGCAGACAGACGGACCACAGCCCTTCTCCCAGGCCCGGGGCACCCACTCGGGTCCCTTGGAGCTGAGCTCGCTGAGGCAGGGTGGCCGCACTCACCGGGCCAGCAGCAGGTCATGTCGGTGGTACTCCAGCGCCCGGGCGTACTCCTTCAGGTAGAAGTAGGCATTGCCCAGTTGGCTGTAGATGGCACTCAGCGTCTTCAGGTCCTCGGTGCCCACCTGCACCGCAGCCTCAAAGAAGGCCGCGCCCGCCTTGAAGTCCCCGGCCTTGCAGAGACGCTCCCCCTCCAGGGCGAGCTCCAGGCATGAGGCCTCCATCCTGGGCGAGGGGAGAAAAGTCACAGCTCGCCCCTCATGCAGTCACGCAGGGGACGCGTGCTCCCCACCCCGTCGTCACGAGGACCACGAGGCCCTGGGACGGCGGTGACCCACGCCACGCCTGCGCACACAGTGCCCAAACCTCACTGCCCGCCCTTCGCTACCAGGGCTCAGGAGCCCCCGGCAAAGGTGTGAGCCTGTGACCACAGCAAGACCCTCAGGCCACGGTGGCCAAGCTCCAAACACAGCCTCCCGAGAAATCTCAGGCGCCTGGGTCAGGGCCACCCCTGGGCCCGGTGCCACATCCGTCCTCCAGAGCAGCTGCGGGCCCTGAGCCTCACCAAGGACAACCGAGGCTCAGAGAGGTTCGGAGAGCTGGCCAAGGCCAGAGGGGCAGGACCTGACCCCTCCCTCATCCTAGAGTGCGCCCCCGCCCTCCAAGGTCTCCATGGGGGACTGCGGGCTCAGGCATCCTCTGTCCTCGCCTCCCATTCTTGGGGGAGGCATGGCTGCGTCCGAGCCAAGGGTCAGCCAGCCCTGAGAGCTGAGGAGCGCTCAGCTGGCCCCCTGACAAGCAGCAGCCCCCACCCCCATGGCACTACCGCGGGAGGACGAGACAGGACCACATCCCAGGACGACCCCGACCCCCGGGAAACTGCTCCAGGTCCCCGGCCATGAACCCAGCCCAGTTCCAAGGGCCCAGGGCCCCACGTGACCACCAGCACCCTCACCGGAGGCTCACCAACCCCTCCTGCCCCGACCTTTGGGCCAGGGGCATCAAAGAAGCAGCCCCTTACCCTTGGGCCCTGCTTGGCCCCTGAGGTGGGGTCTGGGCCCCCCAGCTGCTAGCCTGGGCCCTGCTCACTGGCGACCCCAGGGCCCCTGGGCCTTGGACGAGCTGCCCCGAGCACATGGCTGTCAGGGGAGCCTCGTGTGTGGGGGTCATTCAATCAGGCTGGCCCTGGTTCTGGCCCTCCCTGCTGTGGGGTTCTGGGCAGGCCACATCACCACTCAGAGCCTCGGTCTTCTCCTCCGCCCTCTTCCGGCTGGTCCTACGGGTTCTAGGCTCAAGGCCGTTGCCCTGCCCTGGGGTGGGAGAGTGGGGTCCCAAGCTGGAGGGCACCCTGGCAGGTGACCCTACACGCAGCCCTGGAAAAGTGGGGGGCACGCTCTGCACGGCCGAGGGCCAACCCCGATTACTGGGGTCCGTGGAAAGCCTACGGGAAAGTGAAAACGTCCACATCAAACGGCCCTCGTGCCCCAAGGCACCCACCCCTCTGGGCTGTGTTAGAGCCATGAAGGGATCGGCAGTTACAGGGGGGAACGCACATCTCCCCTCAACAAACAAACATACAAACAAACAAACCTGTCTATGGTAGTGCTTCTCAACCATTTAACCAAACACCCCTTGATACAAACCACAGTGCCCTGCCCACTTCACCCCTGCATTGTCAAGAACACGGGCGCTTTAAACCTTTCCAACACCACACACCAAACAGGCCGGGGTGCAGCCAGAGCCCCGAGACGCTGAGCCCAGCGCCCAACACCCCACGGGCTCAGAGCTCTCTGCTGGGGAAGCCCCCCACCTTGCCCAGCCTCGACTCCCCAGCATCGGGGCCGCTCCTCCAGGGAGGGGTGGGCTCTGGGACCTGGCACCGGCCTGCCTGCCTCCTCCAGAATTGAGCAGAGCTTGGGGGGCCTCTCCGAGAGCTGGGGGCCAGAGCCTCGGGCCTCCTGCCCACCACCCTCTGGGAAGAGCCATCCAGATGCCACGCTGCGGGAGCGCCCCAGCAGGCCACCCCCGTGGCCACTGCCACGCATGGGGCTCCTTAATCAAGGCCTGCTTGTCCTTGCCCAGCCGGGCACCACGCCGTCTGACGCGGGGGACCGACCTCTCCTCCCAGTGACTTGGCAGGACCGGGGGCTGGGGTTTGTGATGCTGCCACATCCGGAGCCGAGCTCGCCCTGCTGGCTCTGATAGGTTCGACTGGGGAGCGGCCGCCGCCGACCCCGTGTTCCTGCCGGGACCCCACGGCAAAGGAGGATTCTGGTGTGGGCAGGGGCGGGGGGGTCCGCTGAGGGGGTGTCCGGCGCAGCCATGCTGAGTCACAGACGGGCGGGTCTAACCCAGGCCCCAGGAACGGGAGGACACCCCCTGGAGAGGCCGCAGGCAGCCCCACCCCTCTACTGAACCCGAGAGCCTCCCACGCACCTTGACCTCCAGCCCCCCGCCCCGGTCAGCTCCCAGCTGCCCGGGTGCCCACCGCACCTCTTCCTCTGCAGGTTACGCATCTTCTGCACATATAGCCACAGCTCCAGGCCCACGGGCAGCAGCAGGGGGCGGGGGCGGGGCGCGCCATACACCACCTTGCAAACGGCCTTCTCCGCCAAGCTCAGGGCCACAGGCTGGCCCTCCGTGGAGGCGGCCGGCATGGCGGGGCTCCAGGCCTCCCTCCTGGCCCGCCAACACCCGCCCCGCCTTGGCTGCTGGTCCCGGGGAGGCACCGGCCTCGTGGTTCCCCAGCCTCTGCCCACCCCAGCGTGGTGGGCCAAAGGCTCTGGCGTCCTAGGCTCCGAGAGACCCCAGGTCCTTGGGCAGGCTGTGCAGGGCCTCCCGGGGACTGAGGTGGATCAAGGGATCAGGGCGGCTCAGAGCCGGGGATCAGCATCGTCAGCAGGGAGGGCAGGGCCCGGGGGGGTCGGGGTGGGGGGGAGACTCTCTGCCAGGCCACTTGCCCAGCTCGGCAACGGGCATTGGGTGGCAGAGGGTTCCAAGGCTGTGCGGCTCTGGACCCGGGAAGAGGAAGGGGCTGCAGTTCTGGGGTTCCCTCTGACCCTGGACCTACCTGGAGTTGGAGCAGATGGAGGAACCCGAGAACAAGAGGGAGGATGGGGGGCCCAGGGCGAAGGCCTCCCAGATACAGGATCTCAAGGCCAGCATCAGCCCTGGAGGCCCTGCCCCCAGTGTGGGCAGGGGTCTGGCAGGGCTGAGTCTCAGGAGGGGCCAGGCAGGTGAGGACAGAGGTGGGGGGATCTGGTCCCAGGCTGCCTGCTCTCCAGAGTGTCCAGACCGAGTACTTTGCTCCCTGCCCAGAGGCTTCGGCCGATGCCCCCTGTCTACCCCTCAGAACAGCTCCGCTGAGAGGTATAGGGCGGGCCTGGGTCACCTCCGTTTTATCTGGCTCCTCTTAACACACTGGACCGCCAAACCCTGCACCCTCAGATCAATCCCAGGCCCCCTACTCTGCCTCCCAGGGCCCGCCTGAAGGGCAGGTTACCGTCTCTTGTCTTTCCTGAGACCTACCCAGCCTGGCCAGGCCCACTTCCCTGCTCAGTGAAAAAGATTCTGGCGCTTCTGTCCCGACAGCACCTCTGCAGACCTGTCGCCTGGCATGTGCCCACGTACACCAGGGATGGACTGGTCTGCAGCCGCCCTGGGCTACCAACTCCAGGGCCAGTGTGTGGAGCTGGCCTTCCTGCCCACTGGCCACACATCCACCCAGCAGGGCTGCCTGGGGCCTATCCACCCCATGGGCCACCAAGAGCTCCACTCTCAGGGCACAAGACCCCCTGGAGCTCTGGGCTGGGCTGGCCAGAGTTCGCAGGGCCCCCAGGGCTGTGGTCTCCGCTCCCGGCAGCCTCACCACCCTTACCCTGGGAGGGGTAGCCTCCCCACCTGGGATTTGTCATCCAGGCTAAATGGATGCTTCATTGTTGACCTGTAGTCCTCCACCTTCCCAGGAGAGGTCAGACCCCACACCTCTGGGTTGGGTCTGTGGAGGCCTGGCCCACCCAGTGGGGCCACATCCCCCTGCACGGATCCACCCCGATGCTGGGACTGCACAGCGTACCCTTCCTCACAGGGGCCCACCAGGCCAGCTTTCCCAGTGGCCAGACCACAGTGGCCAGGAGACAGGATACCGTCTGCCAAGATCCTGTCGTCCACCCACAGGCTTACCGGTTAATAAAATGGTTATCGACTCCCCAGTGGCCAACCTCACTATTCTGGCCACCACATCATGCCCACACCCTTCCAGCCTGGCCTTGGCATCCAACACAGTATCCCAGGAGAAGCCATCAGCCCAGCCTCACTTGGACCAAACTGCCCTGCTCCCCATCAGGCTCCTGCCCTCATCCATCTGCCCTACCAGCCTCTGTGGAGTCCTCTAGTGCTGACCACTTTAGCTGGTCTCCAAGCCAGGCCCCTAGATCCCACCCCACATGGTTAACCGGGGGCTGTGTCCCCCTTTGCCCCATTCTCTGTTAAATGCAGTCACTGTCCTCCCTCTCCAGGGATGTCACCCCCAGTCTGGGCCACCGAGCAGATGCTCCAGGACCCCTGCTCACCCCCATCCCGCTGCCCCCTAAGCAGAGCCATCCTGACTCCCTTCCACAAGGAGATTTCAGGACAGCATAGGGCGGGGAGCATGGTGGGAACAGGAATCGCTGGTGGAGGGACATATGTGTCACTTAGTTTGGGAAGGCATCGGGGGTTGCATTTCTAGGGAGCCCTGGGGCCAGGTCATTACTCCCCAGACGCCCAGCCACGGCCAGTGCCTGGGGATATGGTGGAAGGAGCTGCATGGGGATGGGGAGATGGCAGGGCGCCTGTCCCGCTCCTGAGGATGCCCCTGTCTGGCCACCTTATTCTGGGGCACACCTCTAACAGGTCACCCCCCGGTGGGGGTGCTCACCACCCACTCCAGGAGCACTCAGCTGCTGGCCTGAAGGGGAGGGGGAGAGGACCCCCCAGGGCCTCCCCACTTTCAGGGGCATCTTGGCCACCTGCCCACCCCCTGCACCCTCCTCCCCCAGGCCCATCGGGCCCTCCCTCCCCAACCCCTGCTCCAGGCGAGTGGGCCCGCGTGCAGTAGAGGAGAGTTCTGAGCATTAACTGCCCCCATCTGCCTCTGCCTCCCCGACCCGGTCCCCTCCCCAGGGCCCCATCTAGGGACTTGTTGGGCCCACGGGCACACTCACGCTCAGGCCCCTCTCAATGTGCCTTCCAAGCCCATGTCCCCAGACCCCCATGTCACCAGGCAGGAATTTGGCACGGGAAGGGAGCTGCTGGGAGTGGGCTGGCCCTGGCCCAGAGGTTCCCCCAAACAACCATCTGCAGAGCGGTCAAACCAGACGGACCCTGTCATGGGGCACCCATGTGCTGGGCTGCCCACACCCCTCGGCTGCCTGGCCACAGGTGGGCTTCCCTGGCCCGAGTGCGAGGGGGTGGACGACCTTCTGACGGCTTCCTCCAGCCCCGAGCCGCCGTGGCCCAAGGGTGCTGGATCCGAGGAAGCGGCCCCTCCTCTCCAGCTAACAGCCCCCGTCCGTCCAGGATGCTCCCACACACGGCTCCCCGACTCCCACCCCTGCCTTCCCGCCCTGCCCACAGCTGGCTGCCAAACTCCCCCGGGGTGTCCTCATGGGCCCGCAGGAGGGCTTGGGGCTGCGCACCCCAAATCCGTGCCGGGCTTGCCCCTTCGAGCTCAACTCAGTTCTCAGCTTGCTAGGAGGCCAGGCTGGGCTCAGGGCCTCTCCCAGCATCCCCTCTGAGCTCTGTCCCTGCCAAGGACAGCTCCCCCAGGCCAGGGTCCTGTCTGGCGTGTTACTGCTGGGCCCCAGCCCTGGCCCACACCCCAGACTCCCAAGTTGAGACTGTGGGTGTGGACTAGCACGATAGGGACCCCATGCTCAGCTGTGCAGGGCCTCCCAGGGCTGACACCCCTACACACACGTGCACACACACACACAGTTGCCGGGTCAACTCCTGTCCTTCCCACCAGGGTGCTGTGAAGGGGATCCTCTAGGGCAGGCCTCCAGCGTCAGCTGCCAGCAAACCCCCCGCACACCCCTCCCCTACATGGGGCCCAGGAGCCAGGCCGGGGGGCTCGGCACTCAATCCTGGGACCACACAATGGGGGCTGTGTCTCTCACCAGCGGCACAGGGACCAAGGTGGGAGGAGCGGCAAGGCCTCCTTTTCACTCGCCACCAGGGCCTCATTCTGCACGTGGGGCGGGGCGGGGGGGGGGGGCAACAGAGGTTTGCTGCTGATGCCCAGCGGGGCTGGAGAATCCTCTCAGGCAAGGCTAGGCCCTTGAAGGCTCAGCAGCTGCAGAGGCCGCCAGGTCCCAGGAATGATGATGTCCATCCAAGCTGGGGACCCGTCAGGCGCCCTGGAGGCAGGCAGGCCTGTCCCTGCCCGGCACTCGTGCTGACTGTACTGGGCCCCTGGCATCCCTGGCAGAGTCCATTCCCCCGGGAGGACCTTGTGCCCACCCAGCTCGGGCACCTGGCATCCCCGTGCGCAACACCGACAGGCCCAGAGTCAGCACGCGCGGGCATGCTGTTCAGGTGTCATCTCTGACAAAGCACAGACCGCAGGCATCATCCACGAATCTGCCCGGAGGCAGGTGCCCTTTTAGGCAGGCACATCCCAACTGGCTGGCTGGCTCTGCAACCCAGATTCAAGCCTGCAGTCCCCTGAACCCCAGATTCATGGTGGGCCCATGGGGGACAAGGCCCCACCCATGACGAAACCCAGTCCCTTCAGCCATGCTGCCTCCCAAGAACCCAGACCGCGGCAATGGGGAGGTGGTGCCAGGCTTGGGAGGGAGCTCCTGGCAGCCCCCCTCCACACACCTGCTATGCCAGGGGGCCCAGCTGTCAGGAGCGCAGCTGGTGAAGCTGTAGGTCTCCCTCCCCCTGTCCCAGGGCAGTGGGGGGGCTGAGGGGGGGTCCAGCACGCCGCAGCCCATCCCAGCCGACCATCCTGGCCACCCGCTAATCCTGGACGCAGAAGGGCACAAGCTTCAGGAGGTCTAGGGCCCCCACCCCCGGTAACCCCCACCCCTGCGCCCCCTCCTCCCCCGCACCCGCCACCAGGGTGCCCCCTTCCTCTGCATCCCCTCCTTCACCGCGGGCGCCCCCCACCCCAGCACCCGCCACCCCGGGCGCCCCGACCCTAGCACCCCCTCCTCCTCCCCCGCGCCTCCACCGCCGCCAGCCCAGCCCGCAGGGAGGGAGCGTCCCCGCCACGTTGCGCGCCCGCCGCAGCCTTTGTTCAGGGCCTCCCGCCTCCGGCCGCGGGTCCCCGCGCGTCCCGCCGGCCCCGCCGGTCCACCCAGCCTACCTGGAGTAGAGGCGCCGGGCCGGGCCGGGCAGCTCGTCGGCGGCGGGCGGGGCCGGGCAGGCCATGGGGCCGGGGTCGCCGAAGGCCAGGGGCGCACACCCCCCCTCTCGCGCCACCCTGCGCCTGTCCCCCGTCCGCCGTCCGCCGTCCACCGTCAGTCCGTCCGTCCGTCGGTCTGTCCGCCCGCCCGCGGGAGGCGCCGAGGAAGTGATGCGCGCGGGGCGCCGCCCCTCCCGCCGTGGCCGTGATGTCACCGCCGCCCGCGCGGGGAGGGGGCGCGACCGAGCTGGAGCCGGAGCCGCGGGTCCCTCCCCACTGCGCGCGGCCCGGGGAGGGGGGCGGGGCCTCTGAGAGGGCGCGCCCCCTGCCCCCCAGCCCCCCTCTCCCCCTGGGGGGGGGGGACGGACATGAGGGCGGGGGCGGGCGCCGGCTTGGCCGCTGGGCCGCCGGGTTCTCCTGGGACCCGCGAGGGGCCTGGGTGGCAGTGAAGCCCGGCCGGCCTCCCCACCCCCACACGAGGGGCCATGAGGCCTCCTTGCCTTTATTTGGCAGGCGGCCAGCCCTCCTTGGTGGTCCCCTGCCCTCCTCATCTCCAGCCCCAACATGCCCACCCCCTTCTCCAGACTGGCAGTGGGGTGCTGGCCGTGGGGGAGGACCCTCTGCCAACTTCAGAGACACCTGGGGAGCTGATGGCAACCCCCGACCGTCCTGGGCCCCCCGTGCGAAGTGCCCCCATGTGACTTCCCTGGTCTGGGAGGAGAGGGGGCCAGGGGATCTGCGTGGCCTGGCCTGGGGAGCTCCCCACCCTGCTGTTTCTCACCCCTGAAAGCTGGGGTGACCACCTCACCCTCCCAACCTTGGTCTTATTGGTGAAATGTGGATGACTCTGAACACCTGGAAGGACACTGTGCCCACACCCCCCACGCCCCCCATGCCCCCCACGCCCCCCACACCCAGTGCGGAAGCCACCCCTCTGTGAATGCCTGGGAGCCCTGCCTGCTGAGAGCTTGCCCTGGGGCTCTCGGCCACCCACTCTTGGCTTTTGTGGGCTTCCCCAGGGCAGCACCTGCCTGTTGGGGGCAGGGCACACCTGGGTCTCACCTGGTTCTGTCCTGTGGTTCTCAGCCCCAGCCTTCCTGGTGCAGCCAGAGGACTCCAGAACCTGGAAAAGTCACTGGGGCCCAACAGGGCAGCGACGACTCTGGGAGCAGGAAGTGGGCTACTTTCCCAGGAGAGCTGCCCTAAGGTCAGGGAAATGCCAGGGCCTCCCCGCAGGACCCTCAGCAGAATGCAGCCCACAGGCAAAGGCAAATGGCAACAAAAATAAACAGAAGATAAAAAAGGGCCTCTTGGCCTGGGGCTAGTTTGTTTTTCCTTCGGAAGAGAGGCAGCGGGAATGAGAACCATCTGTGCCCAAGCGCTGGCTGCCTGGCGGCCCATCCTACTCGCCCTCCCCCATGACCACAGGAGCTGGGCAAGGCCTTGCTCCCTGCTGTGGCTGTGCTGCCGGCTGGGGGGGGGGGGGCGTGGGCGGGGCTACCACCCTTATCTGCCACAGCCCCAGGCCTGTGTCCTTGGGGTGACTCCAGAGCTGGCATCGTTGTAAGTCTGGGGCCCCACCTATGGCAGGCCTGAGCTCAGCGCCCTCAGGAGGCCACGGCTGCTAGCCCCTATGGGTCCCCTGGGTCTGCGGCCAGGGGACTGGTGCCAAGAAGGCCCTCGGAGTTATGTGATGTGAATGGCAGAATAAGGGAGAAACGTGTGGCCCCGTAGCGGTCACTGTGGGGAAAGCATCTTGTTTTCCTTCCTGGAAACAGGCAGACTGGGGAGCCGGGGTCCCTGGGCTGGAAGAGTCTCCGCTTTATATGAGAGCTTTCTGGGGGAGCTGGGACCCTCTGGGGGTGCTGTGCGCTGAGCCGGCCAACGGCTCAGGCTGACAGGCCCCCCACCAGGTCACCTGGCACAAATTGTTTTCCCTCTCTGAGCCCTGGTTCTGCCACCC